TCAATTCGCAAAGCTTTTTTTGCGCTTGTGTTCAATAACGTTCGCGCTGCGCTTGTCTGGCATGCACCAACATCATCAAATATTGGTTTAATTACTATAAGCGATTTTATTAATATGCTTATTGCTGCTTATGATACAAAATGGGTAAGAAGCTTTTCTCCAGGAATCCGAAGCGCATGCGTCAGAGATCGAGGATAAAAACAGAATCCCTTTGAGGTAATATTAATGAATATATACACGGAAATCCAGATCGAAGTGTGCACTGGAAATAGTCATGTAACAATTACATTCGACTCATTGACGATAAATCTGCGTAGGCAAAATGATCTTTTATATCATCTGATGATGTAATATAACGCTAGACAATCAATTCAGTTTACCATTAACAGTTGTATGAGTATCGAATTACTTCATATGTAATAACATATTCGATCGTTTTATCAAGTTCTTTTTTTAGAATAGCCTCGACACTTTAGAAACATCGTCGATTTTAGAATGGAAACAAGATTTACATAGAAAAAGTGGACTGAAAGACGATCAATTGGGATTAAATATTGTTCATCTCGGTCCGCAGGACAAGTAAATACTTTTACTTTTCATGAAATTTCTTCTCATGTCAATTCATAGTTTGTACACGGCCATATTAACGAGTACTGAACGTAAAATTCATCGAATACCTGTTATTGATCCACTTTCTCACGATTTTTTGTTTCTGATCACAAATAAACGCATCCTGAAATTCCTATATCTATTCGTATGTAATTTTCTCGTTCCATTTCATTTGATTCTAAGCGATTGTTTCTCTTTGCAAGATATATGATTTGCCTCAACCGCCGTTCATTCATCAAACATTGGAAGAGCTAAAACTTGGCACTTACGAAAATCTAGTGTTGGTAAGACGTCGTAATCCACTTATCATTGATATTCGTTTGGAAATAAAAACGTTTTACTTTTCCTTTTGCCACTGATGGATTAAGAGAAAACAATAGAGAAAATCGACTCTCTGAGGAGTTTAAGAATAATTTAGTGATTCATACATGCTCTATATTCATCAAGGGAATGTCGCCAAAGAAAGGTTCATCATATTTATTTGAGAAACCATTCTTAATACAATCAACAAGAATAGATGAAAACATTTTTAAGTTGATTGACAGTTACACAAGTGCGGAATGCATCTACTGCTCAAAGGAACTTTCTTTCGTTTGTTTAGATTAATCTGCAAACGAAACTCATCGAAGTTCTTCGCATATTTCAAACGATTCGTATTTCTGCCTTACCTGTCGTTGACAATGAAAAACGCCTACGTGATATCTACTCCAAATTTGATATAATGGTACGTGAAAATGTTCGATTTTGTTGTCATCAATCTACTGTTGATTCATTTAGCATTTAGCTGCAACACGTACCTATGCCAATCTTGATGTTCCACTTTGCGATATACTTGATGTGATTCATGATCAGAATACACATCAACTAGCGACATGTAAAATGGGCGATAAGCTATTCGGATTGATGGATAAATTCGTGACTCGAGAAGTAAATTCTTTTGCATAGGACTGGAATTTATTCGTCTCTTGTTCGTTTCTCTATTTGAGGTTCATCGATTGATTATAGTAGATGATGATCAACATATTGTCGGTATTCTTTCTATGTCTGATCTCATGAGATTTCTCGTATCCAAATTCGAAAGTAATTAACAAACTTTTGTTATTTCGCTGATCAATTCTTTTTAGAATTAGATTCGACTCGTTCAAATATATACGTGTCAAACGGACATTTAAGTGTACCGACGTGCGAAAGCGAACCGATGGATACTTGACTTTTTCTAGCGGATGTTTTTATCAGTTATTAATTAATCTTTTTCCTTTGTTCTCGTTTTTTTTTCTTCCTAAAAATAGATTCCTCTTTTCTTTTAATCAAATGCAATATTTTCCTATTAAATTTGATTTTCTCGTTGAATAATTATTGATCGTTTTTTCTTCTTTTTCTTCTTCTTCTTCTTCTCCCTTCGAACTACGACCAACGATCAAGTTTTTTAACGCCTAGAAAAGCCCGCCTCATTCATAATTTCTTGTCAAATGACAAAAACAAAAATGAGATAACGATAAATGATAATTTATTGTTCGCACAAGCAAACTGCCTTATTCGTTTTTCCTTTGAGAATCATTCACTCTTATATTTATTCAGTGCACCGTTTCTTTGCCTTCTGCTTCTTTTTTTTTCTTTCTTGCTAACAACATTCTATTTTTCTGCGTATACATACAATGTCAAACTAAGGCAGTCAGCAGAAAAGAGAAAGGAAAAAAAGAAAGCCGAAGTAACCCATATCTATCTGCTGTCGATCGTATTCGTTTATGAAAAAAAAAAAGTTGCGGCTGCTTTCTAGTGAAAATGAGTATGACTGACGGTTCTTTTTCCTACCTTTTCTTTCCTTCTCCGTTCTGTGACGTCAATCTTAAAAACGTACAATCATCGAGTCTAAAAGTTAAGAGATAGATCTGTTATGCATTTCTTTTTTTGTAGAAATTCTCGTTTTTCATCAAGCACCTGCCAGCATTGAAGAAATTGGATGTCAATGGGCGAATCGATGATATCACCCTCGATCGAATATGATTATTTGATCAAGTTTTTAGCTCTAGGTGATTCTGGTGTCGGTGAGTTCTACTGACAGACAATTTTTATAAGAGTTTGTTTCTCTGCTCTAGGAAAAACGACATTTCTCTATCAATACACCGACGGCCAATTCAATCCGAAGTTCATCTCGACCGTTGGCATCGATTTTCGTGAAAAACGTGTTGTTTACAAACCAAGAACATCTCCAAATGCCAAGCCATATCGAATTCATTTGCAACTTTGGGATACAGTAAGTTTCATCGAAGAAAAAGACATGGATTTTCATTTTTTTTGTTTGTATTTAGGCAGGACAAGAACGGTAACTTATTTTCAATTGAATATGAACTTTCGAACGAAGAAGAAACTTTTGTTTTAGTTTTCGAAGTTTAACAACCGCGTTTTTCCGTGATGCCATGGGCTTCATTCTAATGTTTGACTTAACATCTGAACAATCGTTTCTCAACGTACGCAATTGGCTTGCTCAATTACAATGTCATGCTTATTGTGAAGATCCTGATGTGATATTAGTTGGAAATAAAGCTGACCGAGAGGAAGCTCGCGTCGTTTCACAATCACGTGCTAAGGAATTAGCCGACAAATATTCTCTACCATATATTGAGACAAGTGCATTCACAGCACAAAATGTTAAAGAAACAATCGAAACATTATTAGAAAAAGTTATGATAAGAATGGAAAAAACGATAGGTAATTATCAATTCAAGTCCTTGGACTAGGTTTTGTTCGCGTATAACGAATAGCAAAACATAGAAAATGGAATCGGTTCGCATATAGTCTAATTGAATCCCATTCTAGCTCAGATTCATTTCATTAAAACAAAGCCTAAATCCCGTAAGTAACGGATTGATAGAGTTTCATTTATTTCGAAAGCATGGGGATGATTGACGCGAATATTTCATTTGATTTTTGCTTTCATTCGTAAAGAAGAACAGCGTTTCTTCCACACCTGCATGATATTTTTTTGAAAAAGGTTATACGAGAACATATGTTGATTAAGTTAGACGACTTTGTCTCATTATTCTTCAACCTGTGCTCTTTTTTTTCTCTCTCTAGATAAATCCATCTTTCCTGTGCGACAACCACCGGTCGTTTTACCGGGTGAAGAAAAAACCGGATGTGCATGTTGAAATGAATTTCTTGCGATGCTGTTCTTTTTTTTTCTTCAAAAGTGAATATCGTTCGATCTAATTATGATGCAATATGAATCTCTTTATTTTTCTTTCTGATAATGTTCTTCATACATGTTTCAGTATTGAATATCATGAAATCTTAATGTGTCTCTGTGCATGTTTGTTTGATCTAATATTTGGTTTATTTTCTTGTTTTGATGTCATTTTTGGTGTTTTGAATAACGACAAATTAATATACGACGTGCAGTTGCTCTTTTTCTCAATGACAAATTGTTTTATTTTGCTTTCTTTTTCGTTCTTCGTGTTTTTTTAATGCAAAAAAAAAGGAAAATTCGTATATTAGACAATAAATCAAAATCAGCCAGTAAATAGCGATAAGAACGTAAGAATTTTTCGGTTTAGGGGAAGATTAGTACTTCTCAGACATATTGTGCAAACACAATGAGTGAATGAAGAGGAAAATTGGCGAACAATGAATAAGTATATCTCGGGTGAATTCGAGAATATTTAACTGAGGGCGAGTTTCCACATAAGCAGAACTCTGCTTGCGTTCCTCGATCTAGAAGCGGCGATTGTCTTCGAAGACGAAATTGTCGTATTTAAGATAATAATCGTTCTTTTGCGTGATTCTCAAACATCGTCGACTGTGTGTACAAACGAATCGGACTCGATAGATTTCAATCATTCGGCCATGAAGATCTGTTAGAATTCTCGTTTGAATGCTTTCCTTATTTTGCATTTCGATGATTTTTCCATTGTATCCACCTTATTTTCATACCACGTTAAATTATGAATAGCTTTTTTTGTACATCATACTCTGCAGCAATGACGCACTGACATCAATTAATCACCCATATCACCAATATTTAGTTGTGTGCGCTTTCATGATCAATGGGCTTAACCACAAAATCTATTCTTTCTACATGATTTGTTTTCGTGATGATTGTAATTTATGATTAATAATTTCCCTCAAACTAGTATGCGCATCTTTTCAGTCAGTGATCAATATACCAAAATGTTATGAGACATTAGTGCTTTTGATTACCTTTTAATTGACAGTAGCAGGACCCCCGCATTTGAAAATGACATTTTCGACAATATTCTTCGCACGCGTTCGTTGTTTTCGAATACAAGAAAACGACCGTGAATAAACATCAAGGTATGCTTTATCACGCGTAGCATATAAATAATCTAGTTAATGAGTAGTTATGTTTCTCTTTTACTCACACACGTCTCGACATGGATAGCGACAAGTTTTCGGCGTTATTGGAAGGAGTGAAGAATAAGACGACCACCGTCGTAGATGTTTGTAAGAATTACAATGAAAACAATCCGCCACCGAAAATAACCGATGAGCAGTTTCAAAACGAGCTATTCTTCACAGAGCAGTTTGCCGGCGAACTGGGTGCGATTTTGCAAATTTGGTTTAGCGATGGTTCATTAGATGATGATCAAAAAGGGGCATTCGCAGCTTGCGCACAATTTCTTCTCAAATTAACTCAAGCTCAATCTAATAGTCACAACTGGTTGAAAGAGCAAACAGCATTGATTGATGTCACAGAAAAATGTATCAACGAAATCGCTTCGTATGGTTATTACGTCGGTGTTGGCGGTTCTGAAGATCCAAATTTGGAATCATTCGATTGGTTAATCCAAGCGTTCGAGAAAGTTCGCTGTTTACAACTGTTGCCTATGCTTGTCAAAAGTGTTTCCAGTCGTTTCTACACCGAAGCTATGTACCAATTGAGTGAAAAGAATGCTCTCGAGCTAAGTATTACCCAACATTTTCTACTTGTAACCTGTCCAGATTACGTCTTAACATGCGGCTCAAAAAAACTTCATTGTTTAGAAATTGTTAATCAAATGTTAGCATATTACGAAGAAATCTATTCGGAATTTCTTCCACATATTACAGAATGGACTGTCCCGGTGATGTTATGTCTAATGTATCCAATTAAATTCATTCTCTCGAACATTCGTTCATTATCATTTGAACAGCGAAAAGTGATCTACGATATTATTCTAACCATACTTTTAAATAAATCAACAATCGACTCCAATATCGAACCTGTGCGTATTAGTTTGATACACATATCACTCTGTTTGCTAACAGAAATTATTCGATCAGATCAACGCATAGCGAATATGGTGAAGAATACTTCGGATAAGAAGCCTGAGTTGATACAAGTGCTAAATAATTTATCGAAAACGGAAAAATCGACCCAAGTCCAGAGTGAAGCGATTGCATTGAAATCTTTATTGATACCTGAGGAGGAGTTTCTTCAAGAGAACAAAGCGGGAGAAGTGACAAGCGTATTATTACAAAATTTTAACAATGCGACCAAAGATGGAAACAACGAACAGGTCGACGAGATTCTAAACGGACTTAAAGGTAAAAGTCATAGAAAGCTCTTCTGATCGCAATTCTTCTTTTTTTAGTTTTGGTACAAAACGATGACGTGAAAAAAGAAATTATTAAACAAAACGGCCTACCACCGATTATCAAATATGCAAAGACAACAAACGATAATCCACTACCACTTCAGATAACTTACGCGATGACGTTCAATAATGATGCAAAGAAATTTATGATTGAAGACCAAGAATTTGTTGATCATATCAAACAATTACGTGACTCGGAGAAGAAAGATATCTCAAAAGTAGCACATGGAATCGTCTGGAAATTAGAAGGAGAAGAACAGTTCACAAAGAAAAGAGAAGAAAAAAAACAAGAGGAGGCCGCCGAGGGGAAGAAACCTGATGCTGCAGATGACGGCAAACGAGCTTTTAAAAACGATATCATGATATCCTATTGCTGGGCGCAAAAGTCTCTCTGTCATAAAATTCACGATCGTCTAGAGACCGATGGTTATAAGGCTTGGTTAGATCGAGACGAAATGCATGGATCCATTATCGAACGGATGGCCGAGGCAATCGAGCAATCGCAGTTCGTTCTCATTTGTATGTCAAGTAACTATAAGAACAGTACGAACTGTAAGGCCGAAGCCGAATATGCATTCAATCGAAAGAGTAGTATTGTTCCGTTGATTGTCGAGCCAAAATACAAAGCTGATGGGTGGTTAGGATTCTTAGCTGGTTCAAAGATTTATGTCGATTTTGCCGAGAAGGAAGATGAAGAGTTTGAAAAAGCGTACGAATTGTTGATTGATGAATTGAAGCGCAATGGATTGGGAAGCGCTGGTGATGGAGATCAACCGAAAAATCCGACAACAACTCCTGTACCTGAACCTCCAAAACCTCCTGAGCAGCCTGAACCTCCTCCAATTCAAACAAAAGAATATCTCACGCACGATTCAGCGTTATCTTGGGATGAGACTCATGTTTCGGAGTTCCTAGTAGATAACAAGCTCGATCAGTTGAAACACGTTTGCGAAGGAATGAATGGCGAGACTTTGCTGCAGTTTTATCAATCTTGTCTAACAGCGCCTGATAAAATGTACCCACTGGTGAATAATCCAAAAGAAGAACACCCGGTGTCTATGAACACATTTTTCAAATTTATATCAACAACGAAAAAACATCTACCGCCACCAGCTCCACCAAAAAAAGTTTATTTTCAATATGGCTTCCTCTACCCACCAACGAAAGACACGAACGCGAGCGGTCAAAACAATCAAGTTGGTCAAAAGAAATAACTACCTGGAAATCATTCATTTAGTATATATATTCGTCGTTTATTTTCAATAAAATAATTAGTTCAAAGTTCTAGAAATGTAATTAAGAATGAATTCTAGTGAATACGATGTTTATCTTGCGATTCTATCGTGGCAAATATCATGTTGAATATGAAAGTATTCATTGTGTTTCTTCTTGTTGCACTGATGAATGTCCGATAGTTGATTATCGACATCTATCATGAAAGTGAATCAAAATTTTTTTTTCATTTTATATGATGCTGGTAATGACCAACCAACCAGCCAACCGAGTGACACACTTTTACTTTTCTCTTCAATTTGACTACTCAACTATTGATGTCTTTGGATTAAAGAATCGCCGCTCATTGCTTTACTCGAAGATTCCTTCATATTTCTCTCTCTCTCCGTGTTCAATGTTTGCATTAATTTCATTCAATATGTCAGTCAATTTAAAAGTCAACAGCTGTTCACGATTCATTGTTGTTCTTTTTCATCGACGTTTCTTTCTTTTCAATCAATATCGACTCGAGAAAATTTTCTTGGCAGCAGTTGCGTTATTTCAAATACAAAGAACTTCTTTTTCTCTCTTTCTCCCGCTCCCCCTCCTTTCTAATCATTTCTGCTATTGATTACACCGCATCGAGAACACTAGGTGTGATATATGTATATACAGTCTCTTATTGTTACTAAATCTCGCCGACAAGCTTTGCACGACTGTGCTCTATACACACATCTATATGCACATGAATGTGATGTTTTTGTTTGGACCTTATGTGCGCTTGTAATTGAGCGACACGAGAAGAAAATATAACGTCATATGAACTAACACCATGACAAGCAGACTAAGCTAAAAGAGAACATGAGACAGAAAGAGAAAGAGCGAAAGAAAAAAGAGCTGAAGTAAAGGTAGGTCCTCTCCTTCCCTCTCTCTCTCTCTCCCCCTTCGTCCTAATATTGAACGAACGTGCAAGAGCACAGGGTAATAGAATAGAAGAAATGACGATGGTAATAGTAATAGACTCAGTTTTTTTTATTGCTATTATTGCTGTCCGCCACTACCATTTTGTCTATGGACATGAGTTCAAACAAATAGCGCTTCAGATCGAATAACAGACAGATATAGACGAGGTCGAATTTTTCTATTTTTCTTCGTGAAAATGTTTTTTTTTTTTGGAGATTAAAACCGTTCGATTACATGTATATTTATAAATCGATGCAAGTATGAGCGAGTCAGACAGCGGTGGCGGAATGGAAATTGATTCAGCATTTGCTACAATACCAAAAAACAAATCTTGCCTATGTGTCTGGCGTGTTGAAGTAAATTCATTTTTCGAGAGCAAAAGCTTACAATTGTTTCTTTTTTTTTTTCGTTGAAAAGAACTTCAAACTAGTCGCTGTTCCACGTGAATCTCATGGAATATTTTTCAAAGGTGATGCCTATGTTATCTATCATGCTGAAGAAATCAAAAAATCGACGAATGCATCATCGACAACACCAGCGAATCTGATTCAGCATATTCATTTCTGGATTGGTTCAGAAGCCACACAAGATGAAGCCGGTGTTGCTGCATATAAAACTGTTGAACTAGGTAGGATTTGCTTGTTGATTCAAAGAGTAAAACTTCAGTAGGAAAATATTCTTTTGCGCCGTGCTCATTCTTTTTCTCTCTTCACTAATCATGTCATGTATTGATTCAATGTTAAGCAAATACGGCATACATACATGTGCAGACGCTGTCTTTCGCGATATGGAAGTAGAAAGGAGTATTATGAAAAAAATATTAGACGATCAAGGAAAAGTTACAGATGGAGTTTGATTTCTTGCGTTTTTTTTTTCTTCAAGAGTATCAATTTGAGGACAATGTTATTCTTTTCAAAAGAAGTAACTAGTATTCGAATTTGATGTCTCGAGTGTATGAACGAAAATATAAACGATGGCTCTGAACAATGCTGATCATTACATTCAGTAAATTTGCTTTAGATATTAAAAGAGTTCATGTTTGACGAAGGATTTTTTCTAACGGAAATTTTAGAATGTTATAATTAACCCCTGGAGTGCTATTGAGATGATCGAATGAAAAATTTGTGAAGGATGTGTGGATTATTTGTTAAATCATTTGTAAAAAGAAAATGTTGACCTTCAGTTTATTATAATAACGTCGAAAACGCACGTTATCATAACATAAAACAAGATCAAATCTCCAACAGGAAACGTCATGAACATAATCTTTTTCTGTCTAACTTTGATGTTTGTCCTTGAGATGTTTGACAGATTAGTCGCAGATCTGAATTCAATTCAAATGATAGACAACAAGACGAACTATAAACATTACTTGACATTTACTTTTTCCCCCTCCATATCCAATCAGTTCAATCTGATATTATTCGGCTAGTCTCTTCGATAAATACAATTTTCTCTGTGTGTTGATTTAGACGACTATCTGTCAGGCAATGCTGTTCAACATCGCGAAGTACAAGGAAACGAAAGTGAACGTTTTCTATCCTATTTCAAATCTCGTGGTGGTGTTACCTATCGACAAGGTGGCATCGCATCGGGTTTTCACCGACATCAATCCAACAATGAACCACGTCTATTTCGGTTGAAAGGTCGTCATACTGTGAGACTTTACGAAATGCCTGCTATTGACTGGTCGCATATGTCTCGTGGTGATGTATATTTATTAGATTTAAATGAAGTGATCTTTCTATGGAACGGAGCCAAATCAAATAAATACGAACGTATACAAGCGATGCAACGTGCGAAGCAATTGCGAGATGAACGCGGAAGAACGAATATTGTTATTATCGAAGATGGAGAAGAAACGAAGATGAGTAAAGACGAATTGAAATTATTCGAAACGAGATTATTATTGAAAGATAAAAATACTAAATTAAGTACAAATGATGTCAGCGATGATAACGATGATGACAAGCGATTGGATGGTACACATATAAAACTGTATAAATGTTCCGATGAAAGTGGAACTTTGAAAGTGACGGAGAAGAAAGCGGGACCATTGGTGAAAACTGATCTTGACAGTGAAGTTAGTTCAGAAAGTCGTGTCAACTACAGGCTGTTTTATTGATAATTTTTATCATTTAGGATGCATATATTGTTGATAATGGTATATATGGTGTTTGGGTATGGGTTGGCCGACGATCCAATGTGAAGGAACGACGGGAAGCAATGAGAAACGCTCTTGTGAGTTGGAAAATTCTGTCTGAACAGTTTCTATTGAATGTGAATGCTTTGATCTGGAAAAGAACGATTATTTCTAAGACAGCTCAACTAATATTATAACATTTGAATGAACATAAGTCTGGCGAGAATTGGTGTTCACTTGTGAAGAAGGAATAAAAACTCACGAACGGTCACTTTTTGCTTTTTTACAGGGTTTTCTGCAAAAGAAAGGCTATCCAAAAACGACGAAAGTCTGTCGAGTCATCGACAGTGCTGAACCAATGGAATTTATTGCTCTATTTAAAATCTGGACGGATATCAACTCTCAAAAAGGTCTTGGCAAAACTTATACTAAAGGACATATCGGTAAATATATATGTGATACTTTAAATATTTTCTATTCGCACATCATTTTCTTAATCCTTCTTCTACTTAAACAGAATCTGAGTTGCATAGGTAGGTGCAAAGTGCTCGTGCTCTCTGCATGTGAATCAGCTACCTATAGAAAACGAGATTAAAACAAACGGTTGATGTTTTTTTCTGTTTAGCCAAAATGGCCTCGTCACAATTCGACGCAGTGACAATGCATTCTCAGCCACAATTAGCAGCTGCAACACAAATGCCCGATGACGGTTCTGGAAAGAAGGAAATTTTTCGTATCGAGCAATTCAAAATGGTTCCATATCCTGAATCGATGCATGGAATCTTCTTTTCAGGCGATTCATTCGTCATTCAATACACGTACCATGATCAACAGCGTTCGTACACCTTGATCTATTTCTGGTTAGGACATCATTCCAGTCAAGATGAACAGGGTGCTGCAGCGATGGGTGCTGTTGAACTCGATAGGAAAATCCATGGCACAGGAACTATTATACGTGTTGTTCAAGATAAAGAACCACTTCATTTTATGGCGATGTTCCATGGACGGATGATTATTTTCAAAGTAGAAGATTTCCTTTAGGAATATATGTGTTCGACATGTTTATTTTTAGCACGGCAAACGCAGTGGCTTTAGAAATTTACAATACCATGACGAAAATACCAGTGAAAACGATGATACTTATTTGTTGCAAGTCCGAGGCCTGTCAAAATTCGATACTAAAGCTGTTCAAGTAAATATAACTCTCTTTATCTTTCTCTGAATCTTATTTATTAATCGAGAAAAACAACTCGAGCAGACTTTTCACTCGACTGAGTAGAAAAGGTGATGTTTTCAATTTAAAACGATTGTTTTATTTAGGTGGATTTACGTGCCTCAGCTTTGAACTCGAATGATTGTTTTGTTCTATTCAGTCCACAATCTGTTTATATTTGGTGTGGCAAAGGATCAACAGGTGACGAACGGGAAATGTCAAAAATTGTCGCAACTTCAAAATCGAAGTAAACACGATCGAACGAATTTAGATTGAAAAAAAAATGGCGATTTCGACTTTTTCTTTTATAGAGATCCGATTATGGTATTCGAAGGGCAGGAAAAAGAAGAATTTTGGGATCATTTTCCGAATGGTAAAGAACCGTATGCATCGGAAAAACGTCTAGCTGATCATCAATCCTTGCTCATGAACGCAACCGATCATCCTGCAAGATTATTTGAAATATCCAACGCTAGTGGACATACAACTGCTGTCGAGATACTTCAATTTACACAGGTACAGACGAGGTTCCTTTCCATTGAAATACTCACTACGCCGATAGCTTTGAATTTTAACACGTTTCGTCATATAAAATTTCCTAGGCTGATCTTGATGAAGACGATGTGATGTTGCTCGATGCATGGTCAAGTATATTCTTGTGGATTGGAAAGAGTGAGAGACTGAAATCATTCACTTTTACCGTTTACTAGAGTTCATTTCAATTTAGATTCGAATAAAACCGAAATGAAAGACGCGGAACGTATCGCGTACGATTATTTACGCACTGATCCAAGCCATCGTGATCCTGATACACCAATAATAAAAACAAAGCAAATGCATGAGCCGATACATTTCATTGGTTTCTTCGGTCCTTGGGACAGAAATTATTGGACGGTAAAAGCCAATTGATTTGGATTGTTACGAATAGAGAAAGCAAAGCACGTGTTTACTTCAGAATAAATCATCGTATGAAACCACAAAGTCTATGTTACATGCTGACAACCGGTCAGAGATATATGCGGAATTAGTTCGAGAGAAGCCGGTAAGAAGTCAAATCGTTTCTCAGCACTCACGACTCACAGCATTTGAACTTTGTTTCAGAAACAAAACATACTAAATCGTTCAACAGTGACAAAATATCCATATGAATTATTATTGAAGCCAGCGGATGAATTACCTGAAGATGTCAATCCTGAACTGCGCGAAGTAAGACGAAAAACAACCGAAGGTTCCCTTATCTGCCACTACGACTAGGCTAATTAGTTGAGTATAGAGGCGTACTTATTACCTTGTTTCTTTGGTTCAACACACTGAATAGAGTCAGTTTTAGTTAAGATACGATCGTTGTTACTCATCCAAAATAGAAACAATGTTTAGAAAGACAAGCAGCAAAACTGTCATTCACTTGTCATATTCTCCAGAACACATAAATGTGCCGAACAGCCATGGATAAACATAGACCGTTTTGGTCTACATCTGTGATGACAACGCACAGAGGAGTTAAAATGAACGGCGATAGGCTGTGCGTCATGTGGGAAACTATGAATCGTAAAAGTCAGCATGTACCTCCAATATAACCATGTTATGTATATAAATAGCTGGAATTTCTGTTGACTAAATCAATCAATATAGTTTGATGTTAAACATGAATCATGGTTTTTTTTCTCTCTTTCTATCTTAGATTCATTTAAACGACGACGAATTCAATCAACGCTTCAAAATGACATACACAGATTACGCTTCGAAACCTGCTTGGAGACAAAAGGAATTGAAAAAACTTGCCAAACTATTTTAACAGCATTTTTATGTTTCGTTTGTGTTTGTTTTCGTGCCATCACTCTATCGACCTATTTCTCTCTATGTGTTTATATTAATGTCAGTAATTATTCGAGATTTAACAAAGAAAATAATAATAAAAAAATTATGACTTAAAGCTGGTTTATGTATCTCACGATATTAGTTATATAATGAAGCACATTACGCTGAAAGAGAACGCTTTGAGAAATGAAGGTTATTTGGACGCGTAACCCCTATCTTGGGTACTCGTTTCACGTTCTGTTTTTTTTGTGCGGAGGAAAGAAATACGATGGATGTTTTTTTTTCTTTTTATCGTTAAGTTCTTCTCTCGAAGAGGCTGACGTCAATAGCAAACATACTTTCGGTAGTTTTTTCCCTTTTCTATTGCTTTTGTCGAGAGAAAAATGAGAAGAAACGGCCGGCTCGGCTTAGAAAATATGGGCACATTTGTCAACATTCGAAAATAGAACTCGAAACGTATTTGTAGTCTATCTAGATTCGTATTAACCAAAAGCTAAGACGCATTCATCATTGCTACCTGTAACTTTCACATTGCGATTGCTACTCTCTCGATTTTCTTTTTCACTATTTCCTGCTTCGACATTAACCAGGCATGTATGATTGAAACTGAGTAGGCATAGCGAAATCGATTAAAAGAACACATGTACCTTTTTTTTCCTCTTTCTCTTCCTCTCACGAAAATACGAGCGAGCACTTGAAATAAATGCGTGTTTTTCTCTTCAAGATGTTAAATCACATTCTATCGAGCATTCGCTGACCTTATTAGCTTGTTCATATGCAAAGAACTTTTCTCGTTCGTATTTCAGATTCATCGTATTTCTATCTTGCTAACGATAAATTCGAATATGGATGATTACGACACGATTTCTCAAGATGCCAGCGACTTCTCGGATTCGCTATCAATTTCACTAAACAATAAGGGAAAATATGGACAACTTGGCCTTTGTTCTATCTGTGGCGCGAGATCATCCGGGATTAATTTTGACGTCATGACAGTAAATACTCATGATAGATATTTTTATATATCAATGAATTTGATTTTAGTGTTCATCATGCAAAGCATTCTTTCGACGAAATGGCGTTAAGCCATTGGTGAGTTGTTTATTTCAAGCAAAATTACAATTGCAAAATCATTTCTTCTAGCATCAATTCGTTTGTCGCGCGTCAGGTGATTGTAGAATTGATGAACGATCACGCCGGCAATGTACGGCATGTCGCCTACGAAAATGTTTTGAAATGGGTATGGTTAAAGAACGGATTCGAACCGAAGAACAGAATCAGCGACATCGTGCATTAGTCGAAGAGAATCGACGTCAAAAATTGAAAAAATGTCAACAACAACAACAAGAAAAAGAACAACGAAAAAACCAAAAAGTGAGTTCGAAAAAGATTTCATCTCTTCCTGATTGACTTATTCATTCGTAGGTCTATACGAACTGTCGTAAAGAACCAATCTATTCTTCATCATCGTCCTATTCATGCGACGATCAAACAGATCTGATATGCGAAATCTTTCTTGAAAGCGTACGCGAAGTGATTTCAGATGAATTTCGTCTGGATCTTAATTACGATGTAACCGATGGACTAAATCAATATTGTATACCTGTTTCATCTTTAATCACGTTCTCCAAACATTTGTCTCAATTTCAACAATTACCAGTCGATGATCGACTAATTCTTTTGAAAAATAATACGAAAGTTCTTCTACCGATGTTCATACATTTACTCAGCACAACTACGAAAACACGAATTTATTTCCATCATCCTGGTTTGCACAATATTAACGAGAAAATCTCATATACTTATTCATTATTCAGTTATAATATGCCTGATGATAATAAATTATTAGTCTTGTTCTTTGTCGTTTTACTTTTTTCTTCGTCGTTACTTACCAGAAAGTCTTTATATGATGCTGGTCAAATGAATGATCATTCGAGACAAATGGCTCGATATACATACGATGAATATACCCAACTGATTTGGCTTTATGTTAGTGAAAAGTATGATGACGATTACGGACAGGCCGCATTGGTTTACATGAAAATTATAACGACATTCCTTCAATTGCAAAATCTAACCAATGAAATTTATGATATTATCGAATGTTCGGTGCAAGTTGATCGATTACACATGATAATGCAATCTGTCCTACATTTGATATAAATAAACCGGATCGAACTGATTTTGTTTATTTAATCGTTGTTTCTAGTTGAGCATTCTTCTTCTTTTTCATGTATATTAGCCAGTAACGATGATTTTAAAATATATAATGTATTTTACTTTGTTGGATAAATATATCCTGTATTCATTCGATATCTGTAATGTGAGTTACATTGCTGGAATATCAATAGGAACCTTGTAATCATCCTTTAGTATTGTAAACAAATAAGTTGGATTAGTCGGAATGAATCTGTAGGATTTTGATGAAAGTCATGATCCTAGAGACATCATCGCTTATTCGCACATTTCCATTGACAGAGGAGCGAAACGAGAAATTCGTGAACATCATCTGAATAGGAAAAATCTGACACAAGGTCGTCGTCCTTGAACTACGTTTGTTATTCATACCATATATGATTTCATCGATAGTTCATATGTACTTCTAATAAGTTTATTTTGAGAAAGCACTAAAGTCAGACAAAGGCTTGCTTGACATTCCAAGACAATTCACGCTCGATGAGAGCATCCAACGAAAAATGAGGTTTTCCATAATTGCCTCCTCGAGAGATCTTGTACTATATATGTCCTAAAAAACACCACCGTTATCGAAGTTCTTTTTTTTCCATAACATTGAAAAGCCCGGGTAGGGAGGAGGCTTAATTTAATCGCCCTGGAAAACTTTCCGCGAAGCTCAACTTATATCACGTTTTCAGTGGTTTTTACGATTGCGATAGGCGAAATAGTACAAAATGCATCCTATCGAATCTGAAAACTGTAGCATATTAGGATCGAATTATGCTGAACGGGAAGACGGTTGCTTCTTCTCGAATTTGACTTTTCCTGAATGCTTTGAATCTGAATAAATATATGACAATGCTAAGAGAAATAAAAGTTCTGACTGAACATTTGATATAACCGGGATTACATATTCTTTTATGACATAAAAGTTAATCGAGCGTGAAGTGTCTTCATGCGTATGCAATTTTTCGCCTACCTTCAATTCACTCTTCAAGTTTAATTACTTCACTCTTCGTCGATATACCGATATATTATATCAAAGTCTCCTCTGCTATTTATCAATCAAAAGTGAATATTCGTTTTTATTAATACGATTAAAAACTTGCAAGCAAAGAAAGAAAAAAGAAAACATTTCGTTCGTTCGTTCGTAGAAGGATCTTCATTGTTGGATCACTTGTTTTATATTAAGCATAGTCGGCTGGTCGCATTGAAGCGAAGTCCTTTTGGACATGATCTTTCTTCGGCACGTAATCCTACGAATGCAAAAGAGGATAATACGTGTATATACAGAATGTCAAGTTTTGCTCACCTCCAGTAACAGTTCTACATTCGAAATATTTGCCTTGTTCATGCATATAAGTGTCTTGAAAGAAGCCAGCAGAAGCGCAAGAGAAATAATCTGAATTAAATAGTAATTGGTTGTTGTAATAGAGACATATATGTAAATACATACTAGATTCACATTTGGTACCATTGAAACCTGGTGCACATTTACAATAAGCGAATCGTGTCGATCCGATAACATTCTCCTGACATGCTCCGTTATTTAAACATAAACCTGATAAACAAAAGCCCGGTGTTCCTACAAGTAAATTATGTGTGTTATTTGTGATGAGAAGTTTCACGCAAATCTGTACCTTTCATTTCACAATATTCTCCCCATGTGCCATAAGGACAGAGACAAACTGCTTGATGAGGACCTTGAGGAGGTTGAGTGGCACAAAAGCCGGTTTTACATGTGACTCTCTCACATAAATTATGGTCTGAAAATCAAATGGTAGGAGCAAGTAAAGGTTTTCCTCAGTTGAATACAAAGCGCTTTACCATCGCGATTCTGACAAACTGCTCCACCATAACCGCTTGGACAATGACAGATGCCGCCGGAATAGACACCACCATGTAGACATGGCGATGGACCCGTTCCTGGATTTGTTGTTGACGAACATTGTAATGGTTTAGTTAAATCTGTAAGAAAAGTTCAACAAACAATCAGTATGTAGAAAGGAAGACATGTCATTCGTAGAATAACTGACCACAGTCAGCGTTCGTTGTCTGTACACTATTTCCCGCCGTGTCGTTGCACAGACAAGAGAATGATGTTCCACAGTCATCACTTTCGAGACACAGTATTAAATTTCCGTTGCTATTTGTGCAGGCATCCTCACTAGCATTTTGGTTACCACAAAGACCTATTAATAAAGAATCTTTGTTTTAAGCTTTTATTCTCATATTTACTTACGACATGGTCTGTCGAACGTGTATTTATGTCCAGGGCATGTACATAAAGCACTGGCGCCCACTTGGAGGCATCGATAACCTCGTGTTTCATTGAAATAACCTGCTATTCCACAGGGATTAGTACTACAGTCTACAAGAGCATATCAAAATGAGTAAACATATACGTAACAATAACAATTTTTATCACCAGCGGCGTGTGTTGATGTGAAGTACAGTGCGACAATGAGAACAATAACAGTTTTCATTCTTCGTTGAATTTCGAAAACTAAAAAATGATTTTCGGTGCCAGTGCGGATGCTTTTATATCGGAATATCTGCTAATAACATGTATATCGCATTAAAAATTGTTATTACGTGGGTTTTAAATTACAAAAATATCGAAATAATATGTTTTGATTTCGATATTGAATGACTATCAGTAAAAAAGGGGCGTTCGAAAATATTTATTAAATATTTTCAACATCAATTTCTACACAAAAATTTGGCATTGAAACCGGATCTACGACTGAAAATGTTTTATTTTTTTGTTGTGCACTTTCTCTCTCACTTCTACAAAAAAAGAAACTAATTGATAAATTTAAAGAGCAGTCATCTTTATTTAATCCCATTGACAAAGAGGAAGAATATTGTTTCACTCAATGTCTGATGAATGATTTGATGACGAAGGGGACAGACCCCAATCCATCTTTCAAAATTAACATCGTGAAGAAAATCGATTTTGTTGTACGGGAACTGATTTTTTAGAATAAAACTTAATCAGAACAAATCCTGCATTTTTTTTCTTTCTGTAACCTTCGATTTACGATGATTTGTTTTTAACAATAGCGAAGGATTTCTTGTATAGCTACATGCATTCGAATATTTCTCTGAATCGTTCGGATGAGTACACGATTTCTTGTAATACTATCAGATGAAAATGCTCTTTCCGAAATTGTGACAAGTGCCGTTTCGTTGGCAATAAATCGGTCGTCTTCGAAATAATGAATGTTTATCAAGACACAATTGTGTTCGTCAGTTTTTTTTCTCGTTCTCGAATCAGATTAAGTGAATTCGATTACACTGATGATAATGTATTTATGGGAATAGAACTTCGCATCGCGATGATGATACTCAATGTAAAAACACATGTCAGATAGGACTGATTGTAATGAGCAGAAAGCAAACTTGTCGAATTGATTTCATTCTTTTATTCTTTACTCTTATAAAAATCAACAGTGATTTGACCTTTTCACTTCGATACACCGACGTTATGAAATCGGCGAGTCCATTCATTCTATCGTGACATGCATCGATGCTAGTACAAAATAGAACGTATAGTCATCGATAAGAAAGAATGCCTTTCTGCATCAAGTCACAAAATGTATGTGTAGTAAGCGATCAGTCTTTCGAGTTACTTTCTTTTTTTTCTCTTCTTCTTCGTCTTCTTCTTTTTGTTCTAGTGTAGCTCCACTCGTTTTCTTCTTCCTCCTTTATTCTTTGAATCGTCATCATGTTCAGTAGCGCTCAACGATCACAGCTGTGCTCGTGTTCGTATGCGCTCATCTTAAAGAACGACGAACGAGAGTAAAAAAAGTCGAGAGAAAAGTTTACTTCTTTTTCTTGCTCTCTCTCCCTCTCTTTCCCTTTTCATCATGGCATTAATGTATGGCACCTCGCTTTTATATGGCAACAGTAATCTTTGCTCATTGATACTCGATTACGAACGAAATAGAACAAGTGCGTGAGCAAACTTTTAAACAAAACTCTACGTTATCATGGATGTCTCATTACAAAAAATTCTTCCTAATAATACTTCATTAATCAAGCATTTCTCATTCGATCACTCAGCTATATTTATTAATACAACGCACGGCTCATCAGGTAGGAAAGGACAAAGACTCGAGCTCGGGATTTTTTGCTCAACAAAATGAATTATGCATAATCTTATGTCAGATGACATTGAAATTCACTTGGGATGAAAATTAAAAAAATGATTTGATTTGATTTGGACGGTTAATTGTCATATCAACAGACAGATCAAGGTAGAGATATTAAGACGCATACACATATGTATCTATAATTAAATGACAAGGGGCTTTCTTCAATAAGCAACAGCAAGATAGAGAATCATCTGTGGCCAGTTTTTATGATAGAGTTCGATTAATCATAAAAAAAAAGCGTAGGAGAAATGATTTGTTCATACTTATGTTTGAAAGGAAATCACTCGTAACGCTGAGAATTAGAAAGCACCATCTGTTCAGTATACGTATGTTTAACATTACGTAATTGAAGAGAAAAAACCAGTTAATATAGAAACGTTTCTTGGTCGATATAAAACATCGAACAGGAAATTGTTAAATAAATTCTCCTATTTCCAATCTGGTTCTTTCTTTTAATACAATCTATTGTTCCATCTTTCTTTTCTTCATTTTCTTTTTTCCGCATACGAGAGTATCACGACGCGACATTTGAATGTATTAACTGCTAAGACTATACTCATACTTCAGCATAATAATCGTCTATTTCACTGCACACACACATATATACGTTTCTTTACTTCACTCCCTTTTTTGCCCTTTTGCCAAGTAGTTTCTTTAGTGACTCGTCACTTCGCCTTTTTCTTCCTCTCCTTTTCCGACGATTGTCTGCACCAGCTGGGTATACTTTAAGATAAATTTGTGTTTCAAACGATACAAAATGACTGATAATCCAACGGGATCGCCATTCTCGACTGTTCGAAACGACGCACAAGAATCGGACAACTCAACAATGACGAAAAAACCAAGTGAATCTGATAATCGGAGTGATCGATCGGATTTTGACATCATTGAATCAAATTATAGTATCAATGAACTAAATGATGGTATTTAACTTTAATCTAGTTTAGTTCAGTAAGGGAAAAAGAAGAGACCGACTGTCCTTTCTTTTTAATTGAAAAAAATGAAAGAGGAAGAAAATCGAATATTTATCTCTGATAAATCTCTTGTGTCATCATTCGTTCTCGTGTCCTTTTTGTAATCCATCAACGACGATAGACATTGTTCATCGCACGTACTATACGTAATTACTCGCGTGTCGAAGACGATTGACTATCATACATATATATGCAGAGAGAGAGAGAGAGAGAGAGAGAGAGAGGGAGAGATGAAGACGACTACTCGCGGTGGCTTTTTCCTCTTGTTTGTTTTCCTGAGTAAACATCCTTGTTTTATTGAGACAGTCTATCGTACAGCTCACAATCACTTGAGTTCATCTAATTGTCTGTAATGAATTTATATAAACGTCACGAATTGTTAGATTTCTATCTAACTTTAGGTGAATGATTTAAATTGATCTTCAAATTTTTACTTCTTTTTGTTTTTAAATAGAACATGTACATCAGGAAACGTCGTTGAACGTCCTATCAACGGCTGACATATTACGAGAAAAACTGGCATTCGCTACTGGTGGTACACATCAAAATTCACCAATTTTGACATTTCCGGACAATCCTCAAATTGAATTAACACAAGAGAAGTATAAAAAACTTGTGTCATATTTAACTCAAGTGCCAAGGTAAGTGAACCACCTGGACTTCATCAGATGATTGGACTTCTATGAATAGTGAACATGAACGACAGCTTGGCTTTGTTCTTATTATTGATCGACGATCGGATCGATGGATGGCAGTGAAGGCAGTCTTATCCTATATCGAGGTACGACTCACCACACTAGGAAAGAGAATAATCGTCATAAAACACGGTCGAAAGGTTTTCCTTCCATTTCCTCCATGTTTACTCAATCTCGCTCGAGAGAATAATATCTGTTTTACATTTCTTAATACAAATCTGACGTTTGAGGCAATGATGAACTTCTCTATCGTGTACCTTCAGCACATTGAATTACCATATGTGAAGCGTAATAGTTCGCTTCTTTCTAATGAAATGAATGTTTTATAGGAATACTTTCCATACTCAATTCAATGCATTTACCTTCTCCGTCCAAATTCCTGGATGCAACGAGCCCTTTCTCGTATTACTATTCTCAATGAAATAACCTGTATTCATCGTGTATGTTAAATTTCATTCAATCAATACTTAGAAATTCTTTTTTGTTCTTATTCTTCATGCGTATAGTTGATCGTTTGTCGGACATTAGCAGAGCTTCATGAGCATTTAGATGCAAGTCAATTATCAAAAGATTTAGGCGGTACGATCGATTTTCGTCTATTTGAATGGATTGAACGGCGAGCGGTAATCAAGAGAGATTAAAATTTCCAATCGAGATTCTCGTTTTTGTTCTTAGGCAATTGAAAAATTAACTCAATCAATTCATGAACTAAGCGAAATGCTTCTCGTTTTTATCAAACAATGCGATGAAATCGAGTTTCCTAACGCGGTGGATTCGACACAGCAGCTACTGCTTCAACATTCCACCCAAAAAACCGAACTCGAACAAGAATTACTACGGATTAAAACGTAAGACGTCCTTTTCGTTATGTTTTGATGTTATTTCAAATGAACATATCAAATGCATTTTAAATGATCAATGATCTTTGAGTTTACTTTTATCAAATAAGAACAATTCATCACCGTTATTTCGAGTGTATAGATCTGCTAGACATCTGAAGTATTTATTGTCGAGTCGACATATATATATATGCACAAAACGAAAGAAAAAGAAGAAGAAAACGAGAAAGGTGTACATATCTAATACATTACTCGATGCGCTGCTCTTTCTTTTTTTCTCTTTGCATCGACAAGATGACTGCGTCTACATGATGATGATCATCATCATTCTTTTTATATTACTTTGTTGATTTTGTGCATACTTTTGTTACATTGTGTCCTTCGATACTTGTTCTAGCTGGGGTCATTCACTCTTGTGCATCATTCGACAACAGCACAAAGCAACTGCATCCATCCCAAATCATTTCGCTGACGAAGTCAATGAAATTCACGATCTCTCATTAGCACCGGATCAAGCAGCTCATGCTCGCGCTTGCGCTAAGTAAGTGTGTCATTTTGTCGAGTAATCTGTTGTCATTCACGAGACAGAAAAAATGAAATATGATGATATTTTTTGTTTATACAAGAATTGTTATTCTTCGTTGGTTTATCTAAGAAAGAAATCTTCGATGTTTTTTTTCTTTGACTAGCGCTTTAACACATGTGGACAATAGCGAATGCATTCTCCAACAATTTTGGTGTCTTCATGAAGCTCGACTGAATCGTTGCCTTGCTCTGCGTCATTTCGAACAGCGTTTCAAAGAAGTTCAATGCACCTTTATCCAATTACATAACAATCTTAGTCAATTACCAGATATCAACACGAGTTTACTTCGATTTGAATGCTATCGAACTGATAATAACACTACTATACGAGAAGAAATCGATCAAACATTGATCCAACTTGATGACCTTTCACAACGTACGCAAGTAATAATATCATTTCATGTTATTCTATCATCTCGATATACATGCGTATTATATATAACACTATAGACTATGATCAGTCAAGCTACCCTCCTGGCAAATGATGGCCTTGATCTGATTATGGAACAACAGAAACAACAATCGATGGCTTATGGCATTGATTCCATTGAGCCGAAATGTCAAGAATTAGACGAGATGAAAAGAAATCTGACGGGACAAATCGATGAAAAACGACATAACCTGAAACTATTACGAACGTATATTGATAAACTTGAATCAGTAAAGCAAAGAAACATGAATCGAGTTTTTCTTATGTATTTATTATTCATATTATCTTTAGATTAACGATTGGTGTACACGTGGTAAAGATATGTTAGCCATGCATCCAATCCATCTATCCAATGATAAAGCTAGTCGTTCACTTACAGAATTAGAAAACTTTCTTTCCGATTTGTCAACAATTAATCTAGACGAATTACAACACACATCAACACCCGAGCCACTTCGTGTAAGTGATAGATTAGAGTTTTCGATTTCAAAACGAACGACCTATACTCTTTCGTATCATGTGGCCTTTGGAATCTTTGTTTTTGAGGATCAAATTTAATAATCGATTTCTTCTGACAACCGCATTGATAATTCTAATGAGCATTTGATGGCAATGACTGTCAGACTCTAGGCTTTGAGATTAATTAGATTGTATGGATGACAGAATGCAAAATATCAAACAGCTACACCACAGGAGATCTCCATGTGTGTAGTTCTAACCCAAAGCTTGGAAAATAAACAGACTCGATTACATAGTAACGATGGGTTTTCCGTTTTAGTCAATGATTAATCAAGTCTTCAATCGTGTCAATGACGTTCGCGATTTATGTGAAAAACGTTGTGAACAACTCCGACGTTTAGCTTTGCCAATCAATCGACCTGTCCAACGCGTGCATCCATTACCACTTCAACAAACTGAATCTCTTAATCTTATTGGAACAACAACGTCTCTTCTACAGCAACAAATGAATGAACATTTGACATCGGCGGATAATGATCATAACCTATCGTCATCATCGTCGTCATCGAATAATAACAACAGTACAACAGCTAGTGAATGTATGATTACACACAATGCAAAAATGGATAAGAAACAACGGTAGGATTCGCATGAGATGAGAGTATGGAGATCATCTATGTGTATTACAATCTAGGCATGTTGTTACTGAATTGTTAGTTACTGAACAAGTCTATGTCGAAGAATTACGCACAATTATTGAAGTAAGCATGAATTTACGCTCTGTGCGAGTTCATGGGAAATCTCTTTTTTCTTCTCTCAGGGTTATATGATCAAATTCGATGAGCCAGAACGCTATCGATATTTACCACCTGCAATTATACAGAATAAATCAGTCCTCTTTTCCAATTTACCTGATATCTATGCATTTCATGCTACGTAAAACAACCGGATCTTTTACTTGATTACTTATGTCTTTCGATACGATTTAGATCCTTTCTTCGCGATCTCCAACAGATCTATGATGATCCATCAATAACAAATACATGCTCAATTGGCAGTGCTATAGCTGCATGTTTTATCAAACGGGTAAATATTTTCGCGAACTAGAAAGAGAATGACCTTATCGAGAAAGTTCTACTTACTTTTCGTTTTGTCTCTCTCGTCTCCCGTCATGCTTGAATATTCAATAGAGCAATTAAGATTTACGATCTATCGTCAGATTTAACATCTGATACTTAAATATCATACATATATGTTACAATTGATGAAGAAAACACAATTGAATTTCAAATGTACGAAGTGAAGATAGATTAAAGACATTCTAGATTGTATAAGGCTTGTTATTCGATATACATTTGATGGTTATCAATAGATCCAGCACAATTTGATTTCTCAATGTAATGTAACTTGATATTTACATCTCTTGTCTTCAAAGACTTTTTACTTTTTACTTTACAACAACATTGTTGTGCTCTGTAAAAGTCAAAGATCGTGAGATATAGAAATGTGTCAGTATGCGAACTCGAAAGATCTCCTTCGAGCAGTGTCAAACAAACCTTGATCGGAGTTCGATAACCGATATGACGTCGTATGCGTTGAAGGAAGGTTAACAGCTGTCTGATAGAAATAACTATGAAGAATGTAAGTAACAACATGTGTTGTAACAATGATTTATCGGAGAGAAGACTTTAAGCGAAATAGTTTCTATAGATTTAATCAAACTTGTCAATTGTTATCATAGTCGATTATCACTGATGTTTTCTTTAGAAATCAAACTTTAAACTGTATGAACAATATGTGCTCAATAAATCTCAGTCAGAACGTATTTGGGAACAGTTTTGTGCTGGACACCCATTCTTCACGGTATGATTTCTAAACATTTGCACTTAATCTTAGTAAAATTGCGTTTATTCTAGAAAATCCAACAGTCTCTCGGTCATCGTCTTCCACTAGATTCATATTTGTTAAAACCAATTCAACGAATAACCCAATATCAACTTCTACTCAAAGTAAAGAAAGTTTTTTCCATTTTCCACTCACTAACTCTCCCCTCTATTTCAAACAATAGGAAACAATTAAATACACACGTAATGAACAAGAATGTTTGCATTTACAAGCAGCTCTTCGCGTCATGCTCAATATCTTATCCGATCTAAACGATGTTATGCACTCAACACAAATCGTTGGTTACCCTGTATGTTGAAATTCTCGTTTTCTACCGATTTCATCTTTGATTAACTCTTATGATATAGGACAATCTGAACACATTAGGTCGAGTACATCTACGTGGTGAAAACTGTTTAATATCCAAAGAGAAACGCCGTGGAACAGTCTATACGCGGACAAAAACGAGTACAAGAGACATGTTCTTATTCGACCGAGATATTCTGTTATGTAAGAAAAAAGACGAAGGAAACGGAAAATCCGTACAATATCAATTCAAAGAACTAATTCGAGTAAACTAAACTACAGAAAGCAAGAGATTTGAAAAGGGAATGATATGTTTAGATTATTGACATTGCTGTTTGTACACACCCGAAAAATGATCGAAATAAGTTTGAACTTTTACTCAAAGATTGGTCATATATTATTCAAGTATGTTAGGTTTCTTTAATGAACATGATGACAGGTTTTGTTGTCTAGCTTCCAAATAACTCTTCCAACGGAGACAAAGCCGAGGAAACAAGTGTTAAATGGATCGATACGATAAAAAGTTGTGTTACACAACAGACAGAACAACGTCGAGGTATGCTAATGGTACTATAACTTAATTGAGTAACTCATTTGATGTAATTTAGCTGAAATGAAGCAACGAAGCGCTTCGTTAGATCATCCAGCATATGCTCATCGTCGGCATTTACAGCATCGTGCAACTATGACAATCCGAGCACCGTAAATAATCTATTTCTATCTTCCGAATTATGTTTGACGACTGTTTTCACTTGTAGAGATTCCGATGACCCTGATGACGAGCCAACAACGTTGAGTCAATTCAATGAAACGACTAAAGCGAATAGCAAACGAAACCCTAAGATAGTACGGAGTAAATATTATCTTTCACGATAAAACTGCTACTTTGTCTCTTTCTTTGTTTAGTCGATAAATAACAGTATTGCCAGACTCTAAAATAGAAAGATTTTTCCTTATAATTGTCCCAATTCAGATATCATGTCCAGGTAAATCGTCCTTCTACGCTAACCACGAGTACATTCCATATTCTTTGCAATCTATTTTAGTTATCTGGTTTTAGACAATCCGGTGATCTTCTCCCTCTTGTTGAATTTCAATTGTATATTGCCTATGTATAGACTTTGAATTCTGTTGATCAATTCTATTCGAAGAAAAAAAGATTCTTTTGTTAGTTTTGTTTGACGAATGAATAAATAGACATTTGTCCATTGATTTGAATACATTATGCCAAGTAAACATCGGTTTTGTTTCCTAATGTGATACTGATCATATCATACAGTATCGAACTGCACGAATAGCCGTACCCATCTTATCGAGATATCAATATAAGACTTCAGCGGAATGTAAATCAGAGAAGTTTCATAAGGAACTTTCGGCTCGTTGCAAACTATATTTGTCTGATAAGTAAATTCGCGTCTGGGAAAGAAGATTCTGCCTGCTGATGGATAGTAAGGTTATCATTGCTTCATAATTTTTGTTAATGATGTACTGACAAGATATATTGAAGTCGTAGATAAATACGTTTTACATAGAGAGAGTTTGATGAAAAGCTATTAGTATAATTCGAACCAGGTAAAATGTTGTGATCGTTATCAACAACCCGACAAGAAGCAGTCAGCTTCGCAATATTATTACTTTGTACTCGAAGTACAATAGTAACTTCGAATCGTATTTCAACCTCGTGGTCGCATTTGTGAATTGTATGAAAAAGCTCAAAAAGACCTTTTTGCGTATCACTTTTGAAACTGTATTCTTTTCTCAATCAACACCAAACATTATTTTGCGTAATCTTGTACGATGTTTCCTTTGAAGCAAACGTAAGCACACTCTGAGCCCGTATATCATTTTGGATGAGTGACAGTTGATCACGAATAAAACATTATCGTTGAAAAGAAAAATAAAACTGTATGAGCGAGGAAGAGAAAAGTTCAAAACTGTTTGTAATGGATACAAAAAAGGATACGCGAGGAAAGATCAACGAGGGCACGGCAATGCTCTGTAGAATTTTCTCAGGTAAAATAATTAATTCGAGAGTTTTTTCATCTTCAATTACAAGCATCATCTCATTCCGATGCTTACCTTCTTTGCATTGCCTTAATGATGATTAAGGAAATGCAAACCGACTTTTCAGCTTCTAACATAAAAGATTATGTAAGTTTATTTTTAAAACATTAAGCGTAATCTGTAGCTTAGATGCGCACGTGCCAGATGTGCGTTGAGTGCAACAGAAAAGTAATTTAGAATGTATTTGAAGTAAGATAACCTTCCTTCTTCTCGATTCTTAACTAGAATATTTGTTAAAGGATGACAACCGCAAGATCTTTGGTACAGTACTTCTCATATGAACATTCTTGCTTTATCTCAATATCATCTATTTGTTTTTTGATAATAGTTCTTTAGAAAAGCATCTAAAAAAAATCATTTGCAAAAGAGTGACCAACACAGTTAGACATTACATTCCAATTCGTACGAAGTATACCAACGAATGAGTTGAGAACATTAAAATTCACTTGAAAATATCCATTTGAATTCAGGTAAGAAGACAAGATATAGCAAAGCATGTCTCTTCGTTTAGTTTTGCCAGTCATTTGCATACGTGTCTGTTGACTCTGTATTGCAGAAATCTTTCACCTGACTACATTTCTTTTATCCATGAACTTATAATCCGTTCATTACTGTGCACGTTTTTCTAGTAGAATAAAGCTAATTTAATCTAGTTATCAACTTGCCCAAATTTTGCGTTATCAGTAGAAAAGAACAGAATGTAACTTAATCTTGCCCTAATCTTGTCACGATTAACAAATCAAACATTCCGAAGCGATTCGTAATCAGAATCAAGTATACTATTTTGTATTAGTACAAGTACTATCCGAAGTTTGGAACGACAAAGATATCCTATTTGAGAAACGTACGATGTCAATATCATTACTGAATTGAAATAGTTTATTTACATCGAATGAGCAGCATATTTTGTATGAAATAGTCGAGAAATACAATCATAATCCGTCAATCGAATCAGTAATGAGTAGCACAAATGCCATGTTGTATGAACAAGTAAAAAACCATCATATTTGCTCTGGACATGATCTCACTAGTCCACATTTATTATTCATGCTACTGTATAGATAAGAATAGAGTAGTATTATTACTTTGATAAATAGTTTGTCACAGGATTATGTTATTTTCTCAGCGAAGTCAACCAGGACATATCAAACTAAGAAATGTTTTTCTATTTCTTACTATGTAATTACTTTCGGTGCAGTCTGTTCACTTTTATTTGCAGCTTTATTAATTGTATAACCAAGTGTGAATAAAAAGTGAACGGAGGTGTCATCATAAAAACGAATAAAATATCGAAATGCACGCCTCCTGTGTGCTTAGCTGATAAGAACACAGAACAACCAAGGGAAAAAGAGTGATTGGCGAAGCACTACATCAAACACGTTGCTATTTTAATAATGAAACGCGCAAAGAGTAAGCGTCGTTTCGTTGGGTGACAGGCACATTTTTGCTTTTTTCCTCACTTGAAGTAACTATCAACGCTTGAGTATGTATCTTTTTTTGAACAACAAAATGCTTTCATTGGTCTACTAGTTCGTTGGTCGAATAGGGAAGAAAACGAAATGAGTGAAATAGTTCGAGTGGATGAGAATAAATTTCCTTTCTGTTCATCATAACATCGATGGGTTTATTCAGATGAAATAGGCCTTTTTCAATGATTTTACTTGTACGGTTAGTAACGGTAACTCTAATGAATGTTACAATCATCCGTACCAAAACATTTTCACGTGCGGGCCATGTTTTTTCATTTAGAAAATAAAAGACGACTGTTCATCATTACACACATGTTCTTAAAATGACACTTTCTGCATTTTATCAGACACAATTGGTACATAAGCATGTTCAAGACCTTGAAAAGAGAGTAACTGCTTTCATCGTAATAGGAACTTTCCTCACCGTTTAGTACGGAAATTATGAGATTCAACGTAGTTGTGTGTTCCTTACTGCACACCTCTTGGCAATTGATGTCATCAATTATTGTGAAGTAGTGATGACAAATAAAAAATGAAATGTATTTTTTCTCGATGGCTTTTTGTTAAACTCTCTTGCATGCACGTGGGAATATAATGCTCAATGATGAGTGGCATGTAATTATCAGCCAAACAATCAGTGACAACGGCAATTTACATTTTGCAGATCTGACACATTGGTTTCCTGATGACAAATTAGACGAATTGATAGTTTTTTCTTAGATTTTCTATGTTTTGAAAATTGACAAGTACTATTTAAGTTATTCCTTGGAAATTAGGCGAATACATCAAATATTTCAGAAGATAATGTTTGTTTTCCTCTGATTATCGATTCAACATGCACTATGTGTTTATAACGCTGCAGCTGTTCCTATTCATCTAGATGGAAAACATAAATCGATGACCTTTGTTTCTGTTATGCATATGTGTAAGGATGTTTTTTTGACCCTTATAGATATATTCTATACTGGAACGAAAGGGAAGAGAAAATAAAATGATAAAGAAAGAAGATAATGCTTTGTTTTTTTTTCGTTTTTAGTATCGAAAATCATTATTCATAACTAGCTGTCTGTCTCAAACTCAACGATCACTTTGGACGAGCAGACTGAAATGGTAAGACTCGTAAATATTCGTTCGCATAATTTTCGAAAGGTAACATCATTCAGCAAATTGTTTGACAATCTCCCAGTCAACTAGTGTTTTGAAAATGGCTTCGGCAGTGTTGAGCTCTAAAAAAACAGCACCGAAATTGAATTCTTGAACAAGAAAAGCATTGTCTGAATAGTCGAAAGAAAAGTAGGACTTATAAACCGTTGGTCTGGAAAGCTCATTACATAGATCATAATGTATGAAAACATACATTTCCTCTCATGTCAGTAGTTATTTCCTTGGGAACAAGCCGTTCAAAAAAATGGTGTTTCATATTAATTTCTTTCTTTTTTCGCTTTATCAATAAGCTGAGAGTTTTCTCTTGCAGTTATTCCTTTTTCTGTTTCCTTTTTTTTCAATGGAACTAGTTTTGCTGTCTTTAGCGTTCTACCACAAGGAGTTTTCTTCTAACGTATCTATTAATACGATTGATGAGATTTTTACACAGCGCTTCCTTTCACAAATCTTATCGAACCGAACACATGGAAATCTTCATTAGTATATTTAGTCAAAAGGGGAAGACTATGAAGTACATATATTCCAATGTCGCAATAACCTTTTGAGAAAGATGAATTTGGACGCTGAAAGATATCTTATGAATAGAATGCGATCTTTTCTGATATCCCGTATTATTTAGAGCAACGCACTTGAATCAATGACTACTAGTCTACACTACTGCGGATCCAGATCACCTACTTCGTCTCTACGATGCGTCGTCTGTGGTTCAAAGTCAATTGGAATAAACTTCGGTGTTCAAACCTGTGCTCCTTGTAAAGGTATTCTCATTTCCTACTCCTTTCCTTTGACTAATTTTCAGCGACGATGATCACACTTCTTTTCTTTTACGATAGCCTTTTTCCGACGAAACGCCAGACGAAAAGAAGTAAGGCAAAGCGAAGAGGACTGATGTTTGTGCGAAGAGATAATTGTGTTTATCGTAGCTTCTGGAACTACCGTGTCGACACCGTGATCTGAGTAGTATGTTGGGAAATGAGAATGAGGCGAATGGAAGATCAATGCGTTATCTACAAATTCGTCGATGTTCATCGTGTCGGTTGCGTCGAAGTTTTGAGATGGGCATGAAAGAAGAACTGGTGCGGACGGATGAAGAAAATGAACGATATAAACAACTAGTCGATATAAATCGACGACAACGAGAATTGTTAAAGAAACAGCTTTGCGAAATTAAAGAAATATCTGTTCCTCGGGTATGTTTCTTCGAGAAGTAGAAAAAAATCTATTTGAGCATTGAGATCGAGACTACTACAATAGGACTCTGTTTACATCTAAGCTGCCAAGCTGTTGGTGAAAGTAGAAATCATAATATGCTTTGAGATTCGAGTTCCAATTGGCATTTTCTTTGGGACCATTCCTACGTTTAGAAAAATGAAAGATTCGCTCACGCATCTGCTTAGAATGATATGTGCATATACGTTCGGTTAGTTCAGTTGTACTTGTGTCATCCACTAATTATAATAATTATATTTCTTCAGAGGCTCATTTTGCATTATATAGTTAATTTTCTTCTAGTTACTCAATTAATGCCTCTCGATGCGAACGTATGTTATTCTTTTTCTAATTTCAAAAGAAGTCTTTTGTTCGTATTAAACAAAACGTTAGCTTTCGATCCATTGTATTCGATGTTCTTCCCATAAGATCAAATGAATCAGCTAATGAAAATGACGTGTTTAATGCGAATGCAATTATTTGAGACATTCGTCAGTAACACCAATACTATCGCTCATTCTCTTTAATTACATATCTTTATGCTAAGACCAAGCGAACGTCCTGAAACATTCCTATTAAAATATTGCTCTTCAACGCCTCTAAGAGAGCCTATGTCAATTAGCACAAAAAGGTCACATCGAAAATGTACCCAGAGCTAACCCTGGAGAACAAAACCAACTCAAAAACATTTTCTCAAAACCTTTTTTCTAGTACATAATCAATGATATTGACTTATTGGCAACGATCGATTGGACACATCTCTCAAATATTTCTTATGCATACGATTCATGTTGTGTCAAATCCTATGTCCGACAACGTGCAGCAACAATTTTCAATGGAGCACCAAGTGTTTCAGATGATCAATCAATCAGTATTTATCCTACTGCTGTTACTACGAGTATCGTTCTATCAGTTTCATCCTTTCTCAAGTCACTACCAGCTTATTATTCTCTTCCGCGAGTTATTCGTAATTACCTTTGCAAAACAAATATTCGACCTTTGATCTTTCCAAACATCTATGAACTCCAACAATGTTGTTACCACGAGCCGTGGCAGGTAGGACCCTAGTCATTCTCGCACTTCTATGCATACTCATCTGTGTACAGGCAGCTACTTACAAAGCAACCTGGCAGCTGATGTGTGGTCCACAGCTTTATCCACAATTTCACCAAACAGAAGTATTAGCTTCAAAGAATTTAGTCACTGACCCGATCGTCATCCGCCTGTTTTTCGTCATTTTATTCTTCTCCACTCCTCTTCACTATCATCAGGACAGTGCAACACCAACAAAAGTTCTCAAGAAGAAGCGACTTGTCACTGACACTCAACACGCATACATCACTCTCCTGTGGAAGTATCTCTCATATCGGTATGGTTCAACGGAGACAGTTCGAATCTATACACATTTGGTTCATGTGTATATAAAAATGCAAACAGTGGGATTCGGAATCTACACTCATCTGACAACACAGAAGAACTTGATACCGACGAATGAAACACTGAACAAACTAGTCGCAATCGAGGTTAATGATAGCCAATAGAAACATAAACTTCAAAGGATTATGATTAAATTTTGCTCTTTTTTTTGAAAGACTACAAATGCCTCAAACAAGACTTGTTATCATACTCAGATGTTGTATATACTGCTCCTTGCCAATGAAATAAAAACTAAGAACTTTGTTATCTTTTCCAATAAACTAAGTGCATGCTGTTCTTTGAAAAGATTTAACACGATTTGTTGAGAGTTGCTAAATATAGATTTACTTCTGAAAAGCGACCGAACGACGTTTTGACATCGAACGAACGCTATGCCTGGTGTGACATACTTACTCTCGACATTCATAAACGGACGAGAATGCTTTCTCTGTTTTTCTCGTTGATTGATATGGCATATAGGCAGCAGGCGTTGATAAATATTAGTTAACGCTCCGTCAGTATTATTAACTTATCGATTTTTGAAAAATTATTTATTCGAGAAAGAAGAAGAAGAATGTTATTCTTTGTTAAATTCTTTTACTCTATCGTCAAAATAGAAGGTTTCCTTGTTAAAATGCATCCACGAATAGTTTCTATCTTCATAATAACAGTATATACAATGTAGCTCAAGTAAATTAAGAAACACGAGGAAAAACGAGAAAGAAGAACAAACAGACGCCGATAAAGTATCCCTCGTCATTAGACAAAATAGTTAAATTGTAACGAGCGCTTATTTCTATATGATGAAACACGCCGAAACGTTAAGACAAACTGCCACGTATGTATTTAATTCCTTACTATTTCCTTTTCGAGAAAAAAAAAGATTGCCTCACATGACCCATATCGAATTGCGAGGCATATATCTAATATGTCATATATAGTAAGTGCGAATTGAACTGTAAGGACGAATAAAAATACGAACTTCACAATGCGAGTGAATGTAGAACGAACTAACCGCTGTATCAAAAAATCAAGAACGTCTCTTCGAACATAGAAGATATATTTTGTTAATCATTTCTTCTATATTTATTTTTAAAAAAATGAGCTAAGTCATGTCTATCACAAGTGTTGTCTTCCTGCTAGAACAACGTTGATATCGTATTTGCTTTTCCCTTGCATTCGTGTTTGCCCGTTATTAACATATGTCTGGGTAGATTCTATACTCGATACGTACATTAGTTGCTTTTATTCGAACTTGGGTATCAAAGATAAGTTTATCTATGATAGAAACGTACATACATTTTTTTCTCGTTCTTTGGATTTTCACTTGCCCTTCCTTTCATTCACACGTGTATATAGAAGTAAGTCGTTTTGTTGTTTTTTTTTCTTTGTAAGCAAAAGAATGTTAATTTCCTAATTGTTAGCATTTTTCCTAGTTGCACTTGTTTCTGTTTTATTACTTGTAGAAAAGTTATTAATCAACAATAATCTATCGAATTTATCGACGTGCATTCGACAACTAGTCAATGAAATAATGATTTTCTCTGATGGCATAATGGATGACGCCCTCACGGTAAGTATTTAAAGTTTCAAGTACAGAAAAAATCATCAAAATGAAAGTTAATGTTTCTTGTTGAAAATATTTCTTTCGAAAGTGAAGTTCATCTTGGTTTTGAGTGCAAAGCGTGTTTAGATAAGCATGTATAGATACGATAAAATATATAAGCGTTACTAGTATTGTCTCTAAACCAACTTGCGTTGTCTGCAATGTTTTCCGAAAAAAGCGTGATATATATTCCAGAAACCATATTATGCAGATGTGCTCTTATTTATCCTTATGTCTGTATATGTCCTAGTCGATTGTAATGCATCGGTCATGCTTAGTTAGTTTTGTATTTCGGACGCACTCATGTTGACAGTTGGAGAAAAGAGGGCAAGAACGAGAGAGAGAGAGAGAGGCAAACATAAAATATGTTCACAATCAAGTCGAGATTGATAAACACCATTAGAATAAATATGCCTGAATGTTAAAAATAAAGCGATGTAGTGATTAGTGCGATGCGTGTCAATGAAAGAATAATTCGTTTGATACGAGAATAACGTATGTTTGCTAGCCAACTATATTTTGAAGATTACACACGACACTTTTGTCCTCATTCGACCATGTGATTACCTGAGACAATTTTCACGCCGTGTACATGCCATCTTGAAACAATTTCTCTCAGAATTCATGGTACATTTGCTTCCTTTAAGACACAACATTTACTCTTCTTAAGCTTATCAAACTGTGAATGATATAATTAGTTTGCTTAATATATAATTATCACACCGTTGTCAGTATTATCGAATAATAAACACTATAGACGCTACGTGATCGGATTCTATGGAAACAAACCTAGTGATCTTGAGTCTTTAGAGCAACGCACTTGAATCAATGACTACTAGTCTACACTACTGCGGATCCAGATCACCTACTTCGTCTCTACGATGCGTCGTCTGTGGTTCAAAGTCAATTGGAATAAACTTCGGTGTTCAAACGTGTGCTCCTTGTAAAGGTATTCTCATTTCCTACTCCTTTCCTTTGACTAATTTTCAGCGACGATCATCACACTTCTTTTCTTTTACGATAGCCTTTTTCCGACGAAACGCCAGACGAAAAGAAGTAAGGCAAAGCGAAGAAGACTGATGTTTGTGCGAGGAGATAATTGTGTTTATCGTAGCTTCTGGAACTACCGTGTCGACACCGTGATCTGAGTAGTATGTTGGGAAATGAGAATGAGGTGAACGGAAGATCAATGCGTTATCTACAAATTCGTCGATGTTCATCATGTCGGTTGCGTCGAAGTTTTGAGATGGGCATGAAAGAAGAACTGGTGCGAACGGAGGAAGAAAATGAACGATATAAACAATTAGTCGATATAAATCGACGACAACGAGAATTATTGCGACAACAACTACTGGAAATGAAAACATCGCCTATTCCTCAGGTATGTATATACGTGCTTAAATGAATTGTCATCTTAAAGAGGTTGATATTCAAGAGATCAAGTATGAATATATACTAAATGATGTAGAGTTTACTTTGTAGTGACATATTTCTTGCCGTGACAACAGAAGGTATACGTGAGATCTTTATCTTCTAAAACACCTATCTCTCCTTCTTATCGTTAGTCATCCATTAAGAGAAGGAAGGCGTATATTAGCACGTTTGTTTGAAAGGTCACGTTGTAGGAAATTATCAATTGTTGACTGGTATGCGGAAAGAATATTAGCCTTTGCATCTTTAAGAAATATTGAAATGCAATCCGTTTTCTTTTCTTTTCTTTTCTCGTGTTGTATTAGCGTATTTTCGTCAATACGGAATTGTCGCACGAGATAGACTGGACTCATTTGTCGAATATTGTCTATGCATATAATTCATGTTGTGTTCAAACTTATGCTCGGCAACGTACAAGTGTCATATTTAAAGATCATGCGTCAACAATATCAGATCCTCAATTGAACAGAGTTTATCCAACATCTGCTGCTATGAGTATCGTTCTATCAGTCTCATCCTTTCTCAAGTCACTACCAGCTTATTATTCTCTTCCGCGAGTTATTCGTAATTACCTTTGCAAAACAAATATTCGACCTTTGATCTTTCCAAACATCTATGAACTCCAACAATGTTGTTACCACGAGCCGTGGCAGGTAGGACCCTAGTCATTCTTTCTCTGTCGCACATTCATATGTACAGTCATCTGTTTCTAGATGGACGTCCTCGAAGGTACTTGGCGACTCATGTGCGGCCCACAGCTTTATCCACAATTTCACCAAACAGAAGTATTAGCTTCAAAGAATTTAGTCACTGACCCGATCGTCATCCGCCTGTTTTTCGTCATTTTATTCTTCTCTACTCCTCTTCACTATCATCAGGACAGTGCAACACCAACAAAAGTTCTCAAGAAGAAGCGGCTTGTCACTGACACTCAACACGCATACATCACTCTCCTGTGGAAGTATCTCTCATATCGGTATGGTTCAACGGAGACAATTCGAATCTATACACATTTGGTTCATGTGTATATAAAAATGCAAACAGTGGGATTCGGAATCTACACTCATCTGACAACACAGAAGAACTTGATACCGACGAATGAAACACTGAACAAACTAGTCACAATAGATGTTCATGAAGCTCAAATGAGTTAGGAGGAAGATAACGAATTGAAGCGCCATTTCAAAAGTGAAGAAGCTTGTAGTGTCTTTTAGTGTTAAGGTTAATAAAGGTTATCTGTGTATTTGTATTATAGTTACATCAACTTGTTCTTGTCAAATGATGGTGACTCTTGTCCATCCATAGAATGAAGGAGCTTTTAGCGCAAGACAACTAGTTATTAAAGGATTATTTATTGTAAATATTTAATGAAAATCATATAACATTGATGGCATATACAAGATAAAACGGCGTCTAGATAAAAAATCGAAAAGTAGTCGAGTATATGTGAGTAGATCTAGTTTTCTTTTTATGCTTTTTTCCAACATCGCTCTGATTGCACATCAAATATTCTTTCCTTATATAGAACTGTATCATGTACTCATAGAAAGAAGTCAAAACGACGTTGTAGTTGCAGATACACGCTCTAATGATTGGTTTTTTGAGAACAATCATGGCAATATACTGATACTTCGAGAATATTTTCTTCTGTGAACAACAGTTTATAATTTTGTCACGCTTAGTTGCGAAAATCATTTATAATTGAAAAAATGTACTCAATTCTATCAATAATGACGACATAGAAGCGAATGATTATCATACGATCTCAACATGTATATAGCTTCTTGTTATCGTATCGGCATTAGTTTTATGATGGTCAAATACTGGTTTAATAAAAACAAGTTTTTCTCTAGTGGGTACGCATTTCGCTGATGTTATCAGGAGGTTAAAATTCACGGATACTATTTCTTCGGCTTCGTGATCAACAAGAATTATTGAAATAATGTCTCGAACTTAGAATAGTCACTAAATAAAATTCTCCGAATTCCTCAGGAGATTGCCCGATCTACATTCCAGAATACGGACGAGGTTAACAAATACCTCTGGCGATATCTTTCGGCTGTGAAAGTCTTTATTTAGCAAACTCATATACTCGCGCGACTTCTAGTTGTAATTTTATTTTGATATATACCTCTGTTCAAATGTCATTTAAGTGCATTTCGTATTTGCACCAAGTTAGTATTTGTTATAAACAAATCTATCTTATCTTTATGCGAGTCCTAATCTGATAGATTATTTAATTATAATTGCAGGTCTTCGGATAAAGCAACATCAGATGAAATCATAATAGGAGTATAATGATCTTTTGAATTTCGTCTGTATGACGTGATAAATGTTGATCGTTTATGATGATTTTGACATCAATCACGTACCGTAAGGATCTATTCATTACTCGACTTTATTCAGATTTCAATTGAAGACGGCAATCTATTGTAAACAAGAAAATTTGATTGACAATGTTTCGTCTCAAGTAACTTTCTCTAAGTAAAAGATATTCTATATTGTTTCACTTATTCACAAATAGCACGAATTGCGATCGTTCATTCAACAGCTGCTTCGGTGATGATTCCGTTTGTCACTACTCACTAGTGACCTCGATGACAGGAAAAAGTACGAAGCCTGTCAACATACACGATTGTTTTTGCGCTTGCATTCATTCATAGTTCTCGGATTACTTGCTTTGACATTGTTAGTCTCATCCGTACTGATGAGAACTTTCCATTTATATCATCAACGTGAATCAGATGAAACTAATAATTAACCAACACTAAATAACATTTCATGCCACTCCAAGTAGAGTATTGAAATTACCTTCTCTACTCGGTGGCCTTCTGCGCCTGTCAAGGTCGTCTATTATTTTGTTATATCACATTTTCAACAAAAGAACACAACTCGGCACTAATGTCTTTTGCGTTCCAATAAACGGTTGATTCATCAGCATGGATTCTCGGCGGGAAAGGACAAAATACTGGTGACATGCTGTAGAATTTCATGAATTAATTAATCATTTCAGTTCAATCTACTGCTCACGTCAGAGAAATGTCCTTATAAAAGATAAATAATGGCGTAATAGACAGAAAATCCGTCCAAAACACCTTTCATTAGAAGAACGTGTAATGTTCGCAATAATAGAAAAACAGTGTTATTGGTCGCTGTTGTACGGGTGTTTTTCTTCTTCTCTGCTTCTTTCACCTATCGTTGTAGACTAGAGTAGCATATAGAAAGTATATTTATGAGTACAAAGTCTAACAGGAGACTTTGTGTTTCTTTACTTACTTTGAGAAGTACATCTCGTTGAAATAATTTGAATTCCTTTTTGCTGTCCATCAATTGATGACGAGATCTTTTTTTACTTTATTTTTCTTTTTGGGAACCAGAAAAAAGAAAAACAAGCCCCTTGTATGAAATGTTTTACTCGACAACGCCCCGTAGACAAACTAATGATATGGATGTCGTGAAATGTACTTTTAACAATTTTCAACCTCTGAGAACCCTTACAATCGTTGATTCGTTCTTTCTTGAGTAAAGTCTGCGTGCCTCTGAAAAAAAATAGAATAAATGAGAACAAGCGATAGCTCTGTATCGTGAGGGAGACGAATGGAGAAGAGGAAAATCTTTATTTTTTCTTAAGCACGAGGCGAAATGTTTTACATATGTAGATAACCTTTTCTTTTTTTGTTTTTCTCGTGGAGAAAGGAAGGATCAAGTGGTGACAATATATTCTAGAGCCTCAGACGAATTTCAATGTAAAAGCGACATAAACAATCACGAAATCGTTTTTTTATATCGATGTTATACACAAAACACAATAGTCTGTTGTTTTGTACAGTCCCCGCATATATTTATTTTCATTTTACTCGATTGCACCATCAGAGAGAAAAAATACATGATTCATGTTCTGTAATAGAAGAGAAAGAAAACCTGAAGTTTTTCTCTTTTCATTTAGTAAAAAATATTTAACTACGACGATAACCAATGACATCATTTTGATTTGATCAAATTAACTTATTATTATGGATCCAGCATGTGCTGTCGTTCATAGCGAACTTACGGTAATTTTGTTTGAAGATTTTTACACTTTTTTCTCTCTAACTTATCACGGTTAAAACACCCTGTTTGGAAGAAATTCAAATCTGCTTCAGTCTTTGTTAGAATATAACTAATATTTTTCTTTCGCATGTCAGCTAAATAAAACCTTCGATTAGGAGTGTAAATACACATAGGTCATAGAGTATAGTACTGACGGCGAGTAAATAACGACATTTCTTACAAAACTCAATCTCGAATAATAATTATAAATGTTAGAGTAGTTATTGTACTTTGCAATAACGAGTAGCGGTGTATATATATCCATGATGCACTCTAACTTCATACATCTGCTGGCATTCTTCAAGCACATGCCGGATGGTCGACCTGGAAAAAGACAAACATCTCGTCGAGGCAATGAACGTTGAGCTTTTTCCGACTATCTGATAGAGTTTAGTACCAACTAAGATAACTATATCCATAGTTTTAGTCTTCACAATGACAACTCAACCAGCTGACTGTATTTGATTATTTGTCCATGTTTTTCTTGTCTCGCTTCTCTTCTTTTCGCTGAATCCGTATATAGAGAGTGAGTGTTGTTAAGACGGTCATCACGCAATAGCGCACCCGTCAGTTTTCGAGTTAAATAAAAAGCACAGGAAATGAAAAAAACCACACAATGCCATACGCTTTTCGAAGCGGAAATCGTTGAACTCATATCATCCTTCATGTTCTAATTGATTTTTCTAAGAGTTCGAAATCAGGTATTCTTCAACAATGATGAAGAAAAATATCTACTTCTATAAAGTTGAACGAGTGGAATCTGATGGAATATTATTTTGTAGGAGATAGCGATGAATAGTACAGTTGAACAGTACCATCGTCAGTCATCGTATTCCACGCGAGAATGTATTATCTGTAATTCGAAAGCAATTGGTATAAATTTCGGTGCACCAACATGCGCGCCTTGTAAAGGTAAATTGAATCGTCAGTTTGTTCTCGTATTTCTCCTGTGATTGCCTAGCAGCTTTCTTTCGACGTAATGCCCGACGGAAAGAAGTAAGGAAATAGATCAATATATCAACGATGTTATCTGTTTATCGAAATATTTATCATCGTCTAGATCCTTAATTTACCTTGTCAACATTTGGAATCGAATGTATCGAAGAAGAGTATGGACGAAACAAATGATGCAACAAGTCATTATATGCATATTCGCCGTTGTTCGTCATGCCGCCTGCAACGATGTTTTGAAGTTGGAATGAAAGAAGAACTAGTTCGTACGGATGAAGAAAATGAACGACATAGAAAACTTGTCGACAATAACCGAAAGCGACGACTCTTCTTGAAGCAACAACAAGAATCAAGAGATGACAAGTCAATAATATGTCAGGTATGAGAGCTGAAAACATCCTTGTAGAAGATTAGCGATTAGGTGAAAAGTTAATTAATCTTTCACCCGATTAATATAGCTTTTAACAAGAGAGAGCATGAAAAGAATGCGAGTGCAGGTCACGTTACTTTCACATCAGAAATCCTCAATAATTACAAAATTAATGCAAATGACAAACGAAAACATTTTATAATGCATGACATATGCTATGTGTTTAAGTTATTTCAATGAAGCACTCCGCTGAAATCTGATGCCATTCGATTATCTTTAGAGCGCACAAATAATAAAGAAGAATGCATTTAATTCTGTTTATATGAATAGGCCAAAAATATCGTTCTACTTTTAAAACAGGCTGTTTGAGTATACCCACCAAATTGCTCGTCCCCCTATATTATCCATGAACGATCATCGAGTAGTTTCTGGGAAAAATGAATAATCGAACAAAGTACTTTGTATTTTACGAATTAAATTATGTTTTCTATTTTAGCGTGTCTTGCACAGTGGAAGTCTATTGAATGAATTGGATTGGCAACATTTATCTAATGTTGTTTATGCGTACGATACTTGCTGTTTAAAAGCTTTCATCGAACGACGAGCGACGCTGTTTCCTACTGAAATGCATGAGAAACGATCTATCGCAGAATATTCTACATTAGTGCCATTTAATCTAGTATTATCCGTTTCGTCATTCGTGCGCGCACTGCCTGCGTTTCATTCTCTGTCACGAAATGAACAAATAGCAGTGTGTAGAAACAATCTGCGTCGGCTAATGCTCATCAATAGTTATGAACTTAATCAATCTTGTTTTTCCGAGCGATGGCAGGTAAAGTTTCCTGTAGATTTCAATATTCTTTCGAGTTAGGCGAAACAAATGTTTGCTCATTTATAGTCCGACGTTCATCAAGCTTCTTGGCAATACTTATGCGGTTCAGAACTTTACAAAGAACTAGCATATTCCGAGCAGTTAGCCGAGAAAACTTGGATTGCCGATCCGATTGTCACGCGCGTTTGGATCATTGTCATTTTTTTTTCGACACCACTATTTTGTTACTACGATTCGAAATCTTCCGTGTCGCGGTTGAAGAAAACATCACCACTATTCGACAGACAGAACGCCTACGTCACTCTCCTGTGGAAATATCTGTTACATCGTCATGGGGACATCGAATCAGTTCGGATCTACTCCAATCTCATGCGCGTTTACTTAAATATGTTACGTGCAGGATTGCTTGTTAATATTCATGTAAGATCACACAGAGATCTTCTGCCCGCACACGAAACGCTCGACCAAGCAGCCATACTTGATACAAATAGTAATTCAGAGAGAAAATAAATCCATGGCCTTTTTATTTGTTACTTGTAAACATGTTTTTTTTTCGATAAATTTACCAGTCTTTGCTCTATTGTTGAAATAAAATGATTATCAACAGTCAAATGCTCGTTTTGTCTTCCATAATTGCACATTGATAATTAAGATTATCAAGTTCATATAAGAAAAAAATTATTGCTATTCAAGTGACATTGAGAGAATTGCTGAGAATATATAAGGAAGTTCGTATGAATATGAGCAAATTTCATTTTTATCACATCTCAAACCTTCTTCTAGAATTCCTGCTGCAAAAATACATTTTTTCTACATAAAGAATACCATAAACATCCTTAACGAAACTTCAGGCGAGAACAGAATGGAAAAAATACTCTTGTTTCGAAGAAAAAATTATGTCGCGAGTCGCATGTACTTATTTTACCGTTTATTCAACGTATGTCAGTCTACACTTGCTCACGTTTGTACCCGCTCTCTAGACGGCATGATGGGAAAGCTTCGATTTTTCTCTGTAGATTAGCAATGACGAACATAGTAATCCTGAAAATTAATCATCATTGTGTTATCAAAAAAAAAACTTTCTTAATATACGTAAAACGTCACCTTCCCACACTAAATTTGATAGTGTACTGTATTACCTTGTTAAATGACATCAGACATATTTTCCTCTTGCCTTTGTAACTATAACTACAGAATAATCGTTTCGTTATTTATTTTCTCTCTCTTCTCTGATGAATGCACGCACAGTAACAGAGTCATATGTGTGAGTCGGCGAGTTAGGGTGAGGAAAGAAAAGAAAAGAAGCTTTCCTATATTTCTATGGTTTGCAGAAGAACAACGTCTTTTTTTCTAGCAACACAGATTCAGATGCCGTCAAAACTAAGTAAATATCAATCGTGGCTCAATATTCGCGAATGTACTGTGTGCGGGGCAAGAGCAATTGGAATTAATTTTGGAGTGCTCACGTGTTCGCCATGTAAAGGTAAATAAATCTTAATTTAATAAATATCTTCTATGGTTGTTTACTAGCGTTCTTTCGACGTAATGCTAGAAAGGCTGATGTAAGCAATTTCTTTCATTCGAATTCGTTCTTCGTATGAAAAGAATTTAGTGTTTAGAACTGGCTTGTCGTTCATCGAATCTCAAAGGCCAGCCCAATGCAATTTGTTCGGATCTACGTCATTGTACATCATGTCGTTTGCGTCGATGTTTCTTTGTTGGCATGAAGATTCAAATGATTCGTTCAGACGAAGAGAACCAACGTTATCGAGAACTTATCCAAAGTAATCGCCAACGAAAACGAGATCTTGTTCTGTTACAGAAAAGTCAACAGGATCTTCAAATCGTACCACGAGTATAAACTAATCCATCTCTTCATAAATCGTAATTAACGTTGCCATTTTTATTTTTCTAGGGAATCTTTTCACCCTGCACTACTCTTGATGAAAAAGACTGGGGTCTTTTGTCGAATATATTCTATGCATATGAGAATTACTGCGTACAACAGTACAAAGCAACACGTGAAAAGATCTTCGCTACAGATATACAAAATACTGATGAGAAATCATTTTATTTACAGTATCATGCAGCAGCCCGTGTGAATAGCGTCAGTTCAGTTCTATCATTTCTCTCCACAATACCAATTGTAGGCTCACTTTCGCGTCGAAAACAATTCTTTTTATGTCAACATAATACACCAGCTCTCATTATTCCGAATGCGTTCGAACTTGAACAAGTCTGCTTCTCCGAACCAAAACAACTCGTTCTCGACCGTACAGCCGCTCAGTATACTTACGGTGTCTCATTATTCGAACAATGGGTCTTTATGAAACAGAGATTTGATGTGATAGTCATCAACGATCCAGTCGTTACGCGTCTTTGCTTGATAATCCTATTCTTTTCTACTCCTCTACTCTGCTATTTTGATTCAACATTACCAGAAATTTCCATTGAAAGTATTGTTTATTTGAATAAAATTCAAAATTCTCTTGTTAATCTCTTATGGAATTATTTACTCCATCGGCAAGGATATCTTGGTACTATTCGCATTCTGAATAATCTCGTACGAGCTTATTTACAATCACAAAGATTCCTTCATACAATTCAACATCAACTTCAAACACAAAGCGATCTAGGCGAAATAAATACACTGTTGAAGCGATCCTATGTATTTGATAATCAACAAAAGTAAACAGCAGAAACATGCATTTGTATTTCATTGAGTATATTTCTATCTGTTAGTTAATCGTGTAAATCAAAACTATATTCAAATGAATACTCTTATCGTTAATACTTTTCTGTTTTTCGATGTTGAATAAACGATATAAGTGAACTGTCATCTCGGTGTTTTTTTTCTCTCAATAATAAAAATTAAGATTTATTTGTATCAAATCGGAACTAGTTTTGATGTTTTTCTTTCGTTTTGCATATTTTACACAATCAGAATGAAAAAAGCAAGTAGCGCGCTATTCTTGATTATCTTCGTCACTTGCGTCGTCTTCATCACCGAAATCTTTCCACAAGGATAAAATGATCTAAACATACATGAAGTCAAACATCGGATTACGCAACGATGTGTCAAACCTTTTCAGCGAATTGTTTTCGTTCGTCGCCTGTCAATTGATCTGCTTCTTCTACAACAAATACAAATGAAAATACATCATCCCAATCACTTGTGTTCCGTTCTTTTCTACCTTTGTATCTTCTCATTTGTTCAAATATATTTTCCATGCCAAAAGCATCCGTACCTAGAAGTGAGAAGAAGGAAATGCAAGCATTTGTTCATATCAATAAAGTTATCTCTGTCCTTCTCTTTCATCAAGGTTCATATGTTACTATTTAAAGAATTTTTCGTGTCTGCCATGCCAACATAAGAAAAGGAGAGAGCGAATTTCATGTTTCGATTTCAATTTTCTCTTCCTATCAAAGAATAAGAAGAGAAATAACGAAATCAAAGACAACATTTTGATGTATGTTATTCGTTTTTTGGCAATGATGTTGATGAGAAGGAAAGCGAACACATCGAACAGACAATACTTACCATGATGGTTATTGGTCGTCGGAGAAGAATCAATTCGTTCGTTCTGCTCGTCTTGTTGTTGTTGTTCTTCTTCGGAATGATTCGTATCCTTATTTGTATCAGAAGTTAGTTTCTCCTGCAATTGTTTGGCTAAATTGCGATTGATTTCACGTCGATCTAAAGGAAATCAATTAGCGATGATATGAATATAACATCGGACATCAATTCATCCTTATCATTTATTCATCATCTAAACTCGACTCGATATACAAGTGAATTCATCAATCCAACTACAACACCGAATAGACTGTTTCGTTTATTCAACACATCGAAACTATATCCACTACAACGGATAACAACTACGCCATCGTCATCTCTACTGAACAAATACTTTCTGTTTAAATCAGCATTCAATCGGAACATGCGCATTGCTGAATTGTCTCTGTTGAGTCTAACACTGCCCTTGTATGCAATTGTGTTTACACTTTTTATTGAATTGACAGTACAGCGCGTTAGTAAGAATACAGCTGAATCAGGTGGTAATTCACGTAGTCGAACACAACGTCGTCGACAACGTATGCGCAGTCTTATATGGACATCAAACTATTTACTCGTTGATTTTCTTGGTCTAATCTACGAGTTAATCTATGTCATTATTCATTTAACAGGTGAATTAACACTCAATTCGTTAGCTGGTCGTTTCTATTGTCAATTACAAGTCTATCTCCCTTTATATTTAACTGTTCTTATGGCTTATAGCTTAACAGCAATCTCGATCTACCGCCGCCGACACTTTGCTAATTTGAGTAGTCAATCAACTCGTTCAACAGCCCGAAGTCTTTTCTTCGTGCTGGCACTTTGGATTATGCCAGTGATCACTTCGATCATTCCAGCTTATTTGTTGACACAATTGAATATTCTACGAATCACTCAACATGAAATCACCAATGAATGCCAAATATCGTACACATATGGATCGACGGTTGTGGCGATCTATATGTGTTATCGACTTGGTAAGAAAAGAAATCGATTGTTTTCTATTTGCTATTCGAATGGAAAGTAAAACTTTTTTCAAGGTAATATTTTCCTTCTTCCACTGTCGATTTCATTTGCTTGTTACTTAACTATCTGCGTGGACTTGATACGCATGCAACGACGTTTTACTGGAGCATTCGAGCGTCATGTACATATTCGTAAAAACCTTATTCTTCAAATTCTCTTCCTCTTCCTTAACTTTGCCGTATTCTGGTTACCAGCAGAGATCATCACACTCTATACGAAAAGTCGTTTGCTGCGAGATACCGTTCAAGTAACCAAATCCCTGAATATTCTCCTTGATCCGCTGATCATTACTGGTTTCGACACACGTTTCTCATCAGCTGCACAACATTTTCTCTCGAAATGGCGTCTCGATGAATTTATGTGCTTCTTCGGTGCGAATCGACAAAATCTATCTATGACGACATCGAGTCAATTGATGACCATACGTTCAGGTGCAACACTACAACGTTTGAAACTTCCACCAAACAAACGTGACACTCAACAATTACAAGCGGTGACTTGGAATCTTGCGGACGACGACGATATAACTGTTCTCGAGTCGAATTCAAATCACGTATCGCATGTTCATGATAAACAATTGCGAGTTGCAAAACCAGTGGATACTCGGGTAACATCGAAACGCAAATCCCGACAACACAGTCAAACTCGATTAGGATCGCCAATAAAACGTCAAAAATCACTCGTCATCGAGAATCATCGTGTTTCTAAGCGTCATTGAGAAGAGTTTCATCCTACCTTTCAAATTCATATTCGGCCATTGATGAACGTGAAGCGTTTGCATCAAACGTGGCACACCATAGACGTCCCGATAGACTAAACATCAACAAAGATTCTTTTTGTGTGTACATCTATTCGAATATTGTTTCTGTCTTATCTTTCCTACTTACGATGTGTGTTTTCGTCTTCGTCATCATCATCTGTTTCTGATGTGGCACTTTTTTCTAATTCAAGTAATTCATAACCATGTTCTGTACACCATTGTTTTATATCTGTTTTGGAAATTGCTAATAGAAAACAACGAATACTAAGAATGATTGATTTCTTCGAAAATACGAACTTTCAGCTATTGCACTGATGCTTCGAGCAACGACAAATTTCGCTTCACAATCGCTGAGAACACTGAAAAATGGAAGCCAACTATCGAGTTTGGTACGACTATTGATCTATAAGGAGAAACACGCATTCATCGCGGTTATCTTCGATGTTTTCATACTTGAACTGGATCAATTAATACGATAAGCATCTGTGCAGAATTAGCGACTGATTCTTCTACGAGCATTTTGGTATTCACTGGGCATAGATGAACATCGGCAGTGTAATATTTTGTGTCGATAGTCCATTCTATTGGATTGTTGTCGATCGTTTTCGACTCTCCAGTTAATTCTTGAAGAATTTCACCGAGAAATTCCTGATCGAGTCCGGCAATAACAATCGACGGTTTCATGTTTGATTAGTCTAAGTACTAATGCAACTCCGAAGGCTCTCTAATGGAAAAGAAAATGACAGACATGAATGAGTACCGACCGCATGAGTCAAAATCAACATCCGATTTGAAAAGAGCTTAACTAATCGGAGACGAACAGAATGGAAACAGAAAGGAGAGTCGCTCGTTGTCATCCTCATGCACAGCATATCATCATCGATAGTAAATTTTCTTATTTCCAAAGAAAATCATCTTCATTATGTACGGGCAATCATAGCTTTTTTTGGACTATTACGTTTTCTAAAACAATGATTCAATCATTTCGTTTTCTTATCAAACAAAAACTGAGAGCATGAAAAAAGTTGATAGGTCATATTACCAGTTTTACAAACAGCAAAGAATGTCAGTCAGTACACTCTTCCTGATTGGAACATCAAGTAAATTTCACCTTTATGAAAAAAAAACAATATCGAACGAAACAAATTTTGATTCACTTCGGTATGCCCCAGTGATGTCCGACGGAGTGGGCAACTACTAGAGACACAATGTTTAGTGAAAGGTCAGTATAGAGAAACAAACATCCAGTTTTTTTTCGACTTGTTCATCAAATTAGTTGGCAAAAATCTCGAACAGATATATGCCGACCTCTGTCGAAGTCGAATACGATGTGCGGAAATACTATCAAAACAGAATTGTTATTTATTTTCTTCTCTCTTTCTCACGTCATTTCAATCTATCTAGCTGTCGCGTGCGCTAAAGTGTCGTTATTATCTATCTTGTTCTGTTGTTTTCTTTCCTCATCTATAGTCTATTGGTGCTCGAATAAGAAATCATTCATTTTCAATTGCGAAACAATGGAAGTGATCGTATCAAATTGGAAATCAACTATCTTCAGTCAGTTAAAAGAGCAAAATCAACGAAGAAACGTCTACGATGAAATCATTGAACATTGTATATCTATTTGCTCGTTGTCAATTCAGACTTTTATCAGTGTTTTTCTTTTCAAAATAGATAATCGTATCCTAGAGAATAATGCTGTCCTACAGATTCAGTGTAACAAACTTCAAACAGATGTTCATCATTTACGTTTGGCTAATGCCGGTCTAGAAAAAGCATCCGAAGCTAGGTGAGATTATTTTCTTGTTTTTCTTTTGTAAGACTATCAACCTTATTCTTTATATTTAGTCAAGAGTTGGCTCATGCAAACAATAAATTGACGGTCGCACAAGAGGAAGTTGTTCGATATTTACGAGACAATGGTGAAGTAAGAACATTAGATCGGATTAAACATCGAAATTTTCAGTCAATTAACGATTTTAGCTTGCTCGAGAAGTTGTTCGCTTGAACCACACGATCGCTGATATAAGCGATAAACTCATCGCCGAAGAAACGAAGTAAAAGAAGTTATTCGTCAATTCAAATGTTCTTATTCGCTTTTATGTGTTATTTTATTCTTACAAAGGGCACGGCAATGTCAATCAGCGAATGATCAATTACAAGAAAGTATAAAAAAAGCTGAGTCTGAAGTGGAGAATCTAACTCAGATCAATCAAGTAAGTTCTTATTACCGTATGAAATATTATAGACGTGCAAATATTCATTTAGGTTCTTCAAGAAGAGTTTCAAGCAAGTCAGAGTAAGATCAACAAATTGCAAATTGAATACAATCAAATGCGACCTGCACATCTCGAACTTGAACAACAATTGGAAACAGCGAAACGTAATAATAAACAGATAGAAGATGAATTGATTTTTTATAAAAATGAACGTGCAGCAATGAATGATTTCGAAGTTGAACAATCCAATCACAAGTGAGAGCGAGATTTTTTATCAAGAAGAGAAGACGAATCGATATTTTCAATTCAGAATTCGCAAAGAAGTCGAAACACAACAGCGGTATTCCGAACCAAGCATATTTTTCGAAGATGATATGGTTATCATCCCACCATTGAGACCCGCATCTGACGTAAGCCAAGACATTCTAATGAATTCATGGTAAATACGAAATATAATATCAAATGAGGATGCACTATCGAGTATTTTATAGTTCGATGGGTAGTAATTCGGACGTCATGTGTCACTCGTATAATGAGTCTATACATCGAGAGAGAAGCACAAGTTTGATTCCCGGTGGAAGAAATCTATTTGGAAATCTCATGCAAAAATTGACAAATGGAGTAAAAAATCATTCGAATGATCATTTCTATCGAGCGCCGTCAATTTGCACTTCAGCATACCTTCCAAGACGAGAAGTGACACATTGGGTAAGGATAAGCTCATCTTACTTGCAGATGAGAAACTCTCTTCAACCTACATACTTTACATATAGGATTGTACTGATCTCGAAGTGTACGCTCTTCAATTTCAACCGTCGGGTTCCATATTAGCAACCGGTTGTAGTGACAAAATGGTGCATTTATGGGAAATTGCTTCGAGTGGTCAACAGTACAAATACTGTTCACTGCAAGGAAGTCAAGGAGCAATCAATGCTCTCGATTTCGACAATGATGGAGTAAATAGATTCTCAAGATCGAATTGTAAATAATGAGACTAGTTCATCTTGTCATAGTATCGTCTTCTGGCTGGATGTTCGAGTGATACAGTATATGTTTGGTCATATGGCGAACAAAAAATATTGAAAGACATATACAAAGGCCATCAAGGTCTGATATTTACTTGTAAATTCATTTCTGGAAAAAAGTTAGCAACGGGCAGTGCCGATCGAACCATTAAACTTTGGGATTTATATAGCCGACATTGTAAGAATTTTATCAATCGATGCTTGAAAGTCTGGACTTTCTCTTCTAGGCACACAAACATTATTTGTTGGGTCAAAATGTCATGATTTAGTCATTACTGATGCAGCTGGCACAATCATAAGCGGTCACTTCGACAAGAAGATTCGTATGTGGGATCCATATACCGATAAATGTCGGACAGAATTAAAATATGATTCTGCCATCACATCGCTATCCTACAACCAAGGTAACACAAGATAATCTTACTCGTTCGTATTTTGTCACGAATTATTCTAGAGAAAAACCAGCTGCTTGCTTGTTTCAAAGACGATACATTAAAACTCATTGATTTAAGACAACATAAAACACTTCATACATTTAGGTTAGATTTTTACCATCGCATAACCTTTTCGTAATCGATATTACTGATCTATTTTAGTCATGATTATTTTAAAGTAAGTACTGACACAGCTAAAGCGATTTTATCACCGGATGGTCAATATGCTTGTGCTGGTTCCCAAGACGGTTCGTTATTTGTATGGAACACTGAGAATCACGTTTGTGAAAACGTTCTCCGACAAAAGCATACGTATGATTTCGCGACTTGCACATTCGATTACATATTTATTTTGTTTAGTACAATGGTCACGTCAGTTGCTTGGCAGCCAGATGGCAAATATGTTGCATCGTGTGAAAAGCATCGTCGTGTGGTTCTTTGGAGTCAATAATCGTTTGTATTTCGTGTGATATTTCTATATATTTTTATCCGACGTTTTTTTGTTTGTTTTCCTAATGCATAATGACTCACAATGTACATACGAGAAGACAATAGATACTATGAAATCGATTATCATTCTACGTAATTTATGTTCGTTTTTCTATTCTAGATTGAGTCGTATCATGGAATGGAAACAAATTATATATAACCAATTACGAGAACGAAATCGATACGAACGAGATGTATATGCGGAAGTTGTAAGACACTGTAAGTCGCGAAATTTGTAATCGATCGCATTTGAATTGCTTTATATCAATAGATAACCGTTTGATTGAAAATTATTCTATAATCTTGCTGCGATGTACTGAGCAAGAACGTGATATTCTATCATTACGTCAAGAGAATACTGACTTGCAGAAAAACAGTGTTAGGTGAGTTTGAACGCGAAGCGCAAGGCACAGAGGAATTTACTTTCGATTTGTTCTAGTGTGGCTGGTCTACCAGTAAACGATAAAGTGAAGACATTAGAAAATGATTATATGAAAGCGAAAGATGAAATTCTTACGTTGTTACGCGAACGAGGAGACGTATGTTATTGACTGGAATGTATACTTTTCTATTCTGTGTGATTAGATAACGAAAGAAGTCATTAGTCTCAGTCGGATTGTCAAAGAAAGAGATGACAAACTTGATTCGGAAGAGAAAAAGTGCGTATTTATTGATTTTCATGTTGGTGTGATCATGTTGCTGTTTGTTTTTATGCAGAAATCAAATTTTAACTAAAGAAAATATCTCTCTCAAACAACGTCTTGAGTTAGCAAAAGAAGATTCGAGTCTTTTAAAGAAAGTTAATGAAGTAAGTTGAGTTTTCCGAAGCAAAAACGTGCAATGAGAGAAATGTCTTTATCTTAGACAATCCATGATGAGTTTCAAGCATTACAATTAGCGTACAGCGAATTAGAAAAACGTCAACAAGAATTAGACGCTACGAACGCGTTCTTACGTCGAGAAATGACTGAAAAAGTTGAAAAACAAGCTAATGCGTTAGATGCAGAAGTTCAACAGCACCAAAGGTCTGTTATTCTCACTTCAATCTCTTTTTCATGTGTCAAATCAAGTCGAATGGTTTTAGACGAATCGAAGATGACGTCAAACGCAAACTCGATGAAGCCAAAAATGATATCACTAGTTTTAGTTCGCCAACAACTATGTCAACATTCAAAAGTTCACTTAACGATGGCAAAATTCATCGATCACCAGCAGCAGATTTGGTGAAAGTTGTTGTTCCATCAAAAGCCATAGCCAAATGGGTCAGTTTCTAAAAAATTCTTGATGTGAGTGAGTGTGATGTGCACTGATTATCCTCGGTTTTTTTATCATTTTAGGATTGTTGCGATAATGAACTACATGCTATTCAATTTCATCCATCGGGATCATTGATCGCCACAGGTGGAAGTGATAGAAAAATTCATATCTGGGAAATGAATGGAAATATAGGTAATCCCTATGGTTAGTTCTACTGAGATCAATTGATCTGATTGATATGTTCATATAGGTCAAGTCCAACCAGGTTATGTTCTTGCTGGAAATAATTCGACTGTCACTGCGATTGATTTTGACAACGAAGGCGTAAGAAATCTTAAGAGATTCTCATCTAATTATCAGCGAAGAAATATTTTAGGCAAATTTGATACTCGGATGTTCAGAAGATTTCGCTTGTCGCGTTTGGGGCCTTGCTGATCAACGTCTACGTCATACACTTACTGGCCATGGTGCTAAAGTCTTTTGCGCTAAATTTATCACTGCAAGTCTAATTGCATCGGGCAGTCAAGATCGTACGTTGAAGCTATGGGATTTGCAAAATCGGCAGTGTAAAGAAGACTCATTCGATTTTGATGATTGAATTATTAAATTACATTTTCAGGTGTACGAACATTGTTTGCCGGATCTAAGTGTCATGATCTGGTGGCACTCGATGCGTCGGGCAGTTTGATTAGTGGACATTTCGATAAGAAAATTCGGTTCTGGGATGCGAAAAATGATTCGACAAAATGTGAATTACAGTTACAAGCAGCAATTACGTCCTTAGCAATCAATCGAGGTTGTTTATTGAATAAAAGCATTTAAGTTTTATTCTAAAACAAGTACTTTACGTTCATTTAGAGAAACAGTTGTTGTTAGCGTGCTCACGCGATGATACATTGAAGCTAATTGAACTCAGGGAAAACCGTGTTATACAAACATTTAGGTATGACATTATCATGTTGAAAAGTTATTTCCACGGTGAATTTCATTTTCTAGTCACGATGATTTCAAAGTCACATCAGACACGGTCAAGGCTGTTCTTTCTCCAGATTGTGCATATGCATGTGCTGGTGGTAACGACGGGTCCGTATTTGTCTGGAATACAACAACGGGCAAAGTCGAAAAGGTCCTCAATAAAGAACACTCGTAAGTAATTCGTTCGATAAAAGGGTACTTCTGAGCTAATAATCCGCACGAATGAGATGTTTTCAACCACTCGTCAACTTTCTACTTAGTAGTATATTACAAATTCAGCTCTTTCAAGTGAGGTAATTGTGAGATTCGTGTTGAGCTCCGTCATAAATGCATATTATTCATTCCGTGCTATTTCCGCCAAGAAGCCGATTGAATTAAACAATCCGGTTTATATTTCCTTTTATTTTAGGACAATTATCAATGCCGTGGCGTGGCATCCCGATGGCCGATTTATTGTTTCATGCGAAAAGCAAAGACGAGCTGTCCTATGGGGAGAATAATGTGATAAAATCATGTCGAAAGCGTTGTTTGTTTATTTTCTTCTCTCTGTCTTTTTTCCAATATTAATATATCTAGTTTCTCGCGCGAAAAACCAAGCACTATCCATTGTATTCAAATTCCTATTCGAGATGTCTTGATTAATCTATGTAACTAAATGAAGTTATAAATATATATATATATATACTGTATATTTTGCATTCAAGTAAACAAAATTGTAGTCAATACACCAGACTCTGTCGTTGTTATTGAAAGAATTGCACCGTGTATTCGTGTTATAGTCTAGTAGTTTTTACGGAAATAGGAAGCCAACGCCATCTAGTGGTGAAAAATAAAACAAATTTTCTTTCGAAATATAATTTCATTTAATGAAAAGATTAATTTCCAGTGGCGAATACATAAATGAATTTCCATGATAGAGTTTTCACGGACTATTTCGTTGTCATCGATCTAGTCAACTTTAATGGAAGAATGTTCAGATCATTTTTTTCTCTTCTCTTCTTAATAAAGTTAACATTTCAAACATGAATAAAGATCCCAACGTAGCGAAACAATTTATTATGTACACAAATGACTCAGTAGAAGCAACATTCTATGATGGTACGAAAATATTCCTTGCGCCATGTGCTACTGAATACGTTGTTCAACAAGGCAACCATGCACAAGGTATAGAATCTTTTCTGTCCGAGTAATATATGCATGGACTACTTTGATTAGGTGTTATGACAATGAAACATCGTACGATATATACAACGAGCACGTTATTACCACGGATTCGATCGGTGTTGACATTTCGCAATCTCTACGCTCAGCAGCCATTTCTTGTTCCAAACCTTGTCGATTCCGATCAATGTTATGTAAGACTGTCTGCAATTCCATTGGTTCATGTTTTTCATCATCTTCATGTTTAGCAATCCACAGGTACAGCAACTCATGTACGTTGGTCTCCTAATGTGTCACTTCCAACGACTGCCGACGACGATCCAACTCAAACGTGGTCATGGACATCGCTGTGCGGTCGAGCACGAATCGAAATTTCTCAATGTCGACAGATTATCTATGTCACACATCCTTTACAAGTCTCACGTATTCTAACCAAGCAACAAAACGATACAGATATCCCCACAAAGTACATTCACGTCTTTGCACCTGTTCGTCGATGTTTTTCATCACAACGAATTCCAGACTATCTGTGTAAATTTGTTCACAAGTGTTTTCAACTTATTGAACGATTATCCAATGAACATAATTCATTCAGTACTGATAATGATGTTGATGAGGATGAAGATGAGGATGAAAGTGAATGGAGTTTTCAATTACCGTTACCACTACCAAGTTCCTCGTGTCCAAAAGCGCATCGCCATCGTTTACATCATGAAATGATGTTCGAAGCTGACATGCGTGTTTTGCAAACGGCAACAGTGAGTTATCGACTAGAATATGATCATCCCACAAGTATAGAAGCATTGGTTCTTGACGAAAATAGTCAACGTCTGATTGATTACGTTATTACTACGGACATTCAATCGAGTTTCTATAATTATTACTCAATGAAAGACAGCGTACGTGGTTTTTCTATCTTGCTTTGAAATTAGTTATGGAATTTCGTAACGTTTCTCTTTCATTTAAAGCAATGTCGTCTACTGACATTATCGGAACATGCATTACCACCTCAAAACGAACGAATCTCTCAAATTATTCGGTTTATGTCTAATATGCGTCAACGCATACTTAGTATGACTCGGCGTGTTCACGAAAAGCCATGCTGGGTTCAAGACGATGTAGTCATAGACACCAGTGTCAACGATACAATCGAAGAGATGGTTAGTTAATCGCTTCTGATGAAACTTCACAACGCCTTTTCTCCTCTCTTAAAGAAATCAGCTTCATTGGCCGATGACCATGACAATGAAGATAATATTTATCGTCAGACATTCATTCTTGACGCTGGACACTTCAAATACTTTCACGACAATCACGTTGAAATCAAATTTTCCAATGGTTTTGTTTTGTACATGACACCAGAACAAGTACATTCTTGTCAAGTACGCATAGGGAAGGCGAAATGTTCAATTCCTCTCAGATTGCTATTTAGATGAATCCACATGTTGATTTTCAATGTCGAATAATCGATAAGAAAAAACAAAAGACTATCGATGTGTTCGATGGAATATCTCAACCAGGCTGTTATGAACAGTGAGCGAGTGATTTTTACATTTGACTTGATTTTCAGTTGGATTTTCGTATACTAGATATATTTCTGCGGCAATCGATTGGTGCCTTTGGGCGTGGAATGAAAAGCGAATAGAAGAGCAGCGAAATCTAGCCAATAATATCCAGCAAGAACTCTTTCGTTTGAAACTGTTTACGAATATGATGGAAATTCAAGATTATCAACAGTCAGCAATGGTGTCGACGCCAGTCACGAATTCGAATGAATACTATTCGCCGGAGGATATCAAACAAATCCTTGCTCGCACGGCCAAGTTCACACAATCAGAGTCATCTTGATGGAAACTCTAGTTTTTATTTGAAATGTTATTATGAATTAGATTTGTTTATAATTCAATGGTTATTTTGTCATAAATTCATGAAACAGTTGAATCTGATTCTCACGCATTACACTGTTCGGTACAACTGAATGTGGAAAAGTCGACCGACACAGAAAAAGTCGTGTCTGCTAATCCGTGATCACCGAGTACCAACATCGAAACGGGTTAGGGGTTGTAATTCCGTTTTTTTGAAAGAGCGTTAGCATGCGTCACTCCTATAAATCAATTAACTAACCGCACACATGACGTAGGTGTCATACGTTGCACGTATTCATTCTATGAACGCTGCTTTATTCATATTCTGACAAATCTTAATTTGACAGGATTGATGCTAATCATTAATTCTTCAAGGACGCAGAAACAGGAAAAGAGCATATATACGCAACCATAATCCAAGTACTTATTTTCAAAAATAAGTTAATATGCGCATTTTAAATACTGACAGGGATTTATTAACAATTCGCAATTGACTATCATTCAATAAGGAGAAAGACTGCGATATAAAATGAGCGATGACCTACAATCTATTAGGCATCTGTTATTTGTTTCTTCGTACTCACTTCTGTACTTTAGTTTGAAGAATTCACAAAAATAATTTGTCAGAGTTGTGCTGATATACGTCATTCGGAACGATTTGTATTGGAAGACCGAGCACTGAAAGAAAAGAAAATGTTTTTAGCGCTAATACATTAATTTTTCCTATGCCAGAGAGAATCTATTATCAATGCAAGCATGACATTGTATTTCTCAACGATTCGCTTGAAGAAATGCTATTTTTCCATGAGTTGATTTTGTATGATAGTATTATTCTTCATCGTTGAAAGTATAAATTACGATCGGTCTGCTTTTACTAGAAAACAAAAGCAAAATTCTTGACATGATGTTCTGAATGTAAACAAAAATCATGCTGACAAATCTACTTAAAGTAATCGATGACATAGAAGAGGATCAAAGTCGACATGTTTTTGTCTATTCGTCCTCGGATTCTCATTGTCAGTTTGACTTTAGTCAACAATAGATCGGAAAAACGGATTTCATTTTGATTTTATAGAAAAAATAAAAGTTAAAGTGTTTTTTCAAAGCCGAACAAGAACACGAAAAGAAAGAAAAACAAGAGATAAAACGAAGCTTTCGCACAAGAGAGGAAAAACTTTGAGAAGACGAAATGCTGCGAGTTGCGTAGAAAGCATTTACACACCACACACAAATAAACAAACAGATAAACAAGAGCAAACCAAAAAAGAGAAATTAAAAAAAAACTTGATCATGTTTTTTTCTATTTCTATTCGTGGAACCGGTTGTGAGCATTGTGTACATTGATTTCCAACTTCACCGTCGTATGCCTCTTTCAAAATGACTGTTCATTGGAATCGGTCTGTTTACTCTCGACATATGAATGTCTCGGGAATGATTCTCTCCACAAATAGCGAATAAACAATCATCTCTCTCTCTCTCTTGTCTATATATATATATTTATATATATATATATATATATGTATCACAGTATCTTATATGGTTGCGTCGAGTCCGGCACTACCTCGCGTATTGGTTCTTGCCTGATGGTGGACATGATGCACAGGAGGTGCTTGTAGTTGACCATCACCATATAAATTTTCGAGATACTCTTGTCGACGAATTTTTTCATTCAAGCCACGACAACGACAGTAGAAAATTTCTCGAAAGGGTGTCCGGAATTCTCGGTTGAATTTCGAATAAATCAATGGATTTAACATAGATGACGTATAACCAAACCAAAGTAGAACAGGATCAACCCATTTAGGTGCATTCAATTGTTTCGGTGTACCTGTCAGACCTGTGATATATTCATGTAATGGTTTAATTATTGCATATGACATAAATGGAAGCCAACAAACTATGAATGTTCCGAGAATGACGCCTAGTGTACGAATGGCTTTTTGATTTGGCAGATGAACATGACGAAAGAATGAATAACGTCGTGTCACAAAGATTGACAGACGGCCGTTGAAAGGTGTACTCAGCCGTCTACCTAAGCATCGAGATGTGGAAAAGCAACTTGTGGATTTCCTTCCATCATCATTCTTTGTCGAACGTTGTCCGCCTAATCGTTGATCCGGAACAGACGCAGACGAGCCGTCATCATTGCCGTTCCCATTATTATTTGATACGTTTAATAATAGCTGTGGCGATGAACAACTGTTTCCGTTTTGTTGTTGTTGAGCAAGTGGTGTGGTCACATTCGTTTGGGCGACATTTGTTGTGGAATTATTATGTGTGAGAAACTGGGACATTTGAATGCTTGAACGATTATCCATGGCTGTTTGCGCCGTTCGGTAGATATTTGCATATATTATGAGTACAAAAATAAGAGGAATGTAAAACGAAAGCATTGTTGCAAATATTTGGTATTCTAATTTGGTATTAACTTGGCATTTCGGAAGATTCTCTGAGGGACCTACGTATATGAAAACAAAATACATTTATATACTTGCTCTTCTAAATGATACATACGGCCCCAGCCTAAGATAGGCGGTAAGGAAACCAGAGCACTGAGCACCCATACGCCAGCGATCATCAATGAAAGTAACTTGACCTGGCGCATCGGAGCATACTTAAATGGATGGTTAATAATAAAATAACGATCAATTGAAATAATAAGAAAATTTAAGATTGATGATGTACAAAGAAGAACATCAGTGGATGTCCATAAGTCACACATAATTGAACCTAAAAGCCAGTTGTCATTGGAAATTTCCAGCACTAAACAAGAAAACAACCGAAGAGCGGGTGATAAATTTTTCAAAAAACAACTCAATGCGTTCTTACTCATCGCTAATGGCATTATAAATAAACCAACGAAAACGTCACTGACAGCCAAACTTACAATAAGTATATTCGAAGGAGTTCGTAATTTCTTCACGAGACACACCGATAGAATGACAACGAGATTACCAATGATGGTTATGATGCTCATCAACGAACACACAATAATAATCAACACTAAGTAGGCGACACTACGCGGTTTTTCTATTAAAACTTTGTCAACTTTCGTTGTATTCAGCAGACGATCATTGTCTACGAGAGTCGATAGTGTCGCTGATGTTGATAGTGTAGTGCTCGGCAGCATTCGTCGTCGTGACATACTACCCCATTGTACTGACGAGCCGTTTGCCAACACAACAGTGGATGAGATCGGTGGATTTCGTTGTTGTTGAGCAGCAGCTACGGATGTTAGTAGAGAGATAATCGATAATAACGAAAGGAATATTGTTGTACATTTAATATAAACTGTCGACTGAGAAGAAGACGAAGAAAAAGATGATGAAGATGTCATCCGACAGGAACGACGGTTTTGTAAAAACGCCACTGTTGAGTCTAGATGTAAATGAAATAAATATATAGTTGCTTCATTCAATAATCACTAATATAGATATATAACTGATCTAAAAAGAATCCCTTTATTTTTGTTAAGAGAAAATTAATAACAGTTTAATGCTTCAATGATTTCTTCTTTCTCTTTTCTCTCTATCTTCATAGATAACGATAACAAGTACTACCGGAAATACGATCACTTGCTATTCTATTGCTCAATTTTCTCCCCAAACACACACTCGAGATTACCTATCTTCATTTTGACAATGTTTTCATTTCGAAATGAGAATCCTTCTTTCGAACCGACTGGATTCACACATTTGCTCTCTATAGGTGGCTGACGAGTTAAAAATGTCATATTATTGATTACCTAAATACCTAGTGAATTATATTTATATCAGAAGAATAACTGTCAAATCAAATAAGATTGTAATATTTCCCCCCTACTTTCTTTTCTCTTTCTGCACTTTCTGTCAGGTTTTTTTTTCGACGTTTGTATTTGCTTACCTTAGTCGAAGCAAAAAACTTCTCTTTTTACTTAAGGCTCGTCTATATTTATACAGCATACTTTCAGTTCGCTTTATCAATTATCGTTTCCCTTTCATGCCAGATTACCTTTCCCAATGCAGTTAAATACCTATGTTCTTCAGTTTACATTCAATCAATAGGACTGATTTTCGAAAAACTTATTTTTTGCATCGCGTTTATGTTAATTATTCGAAAGAAAAACAACGTTTGTTTTGGTTATACATTTGAAAAAATCGAATGGTGATATGGATGAAATGAGTCAGATGGTTGTGCTGGAAGAGAAAAAAAAGCAAAAGTGCGTTCGACTATCAAGCAATATTTGCTACTATTTCATATCGTCACCGAGTTGGTTCTTTTTCATAACAAACTATCGCTAACAGTATGTCGAAACATGTCGTCTACTTATCCCTACATTTGACTTTGCGTTTGATTCTCTATCGCGATATGTCAAAAATCTAATGTACGAGAATACAAACACGTCGTCTTAAATAGAAATAATTTACCATAAAAGGCGTCAATACTTGATTCTTTTTCGAAGTGAGAACGAACGAAAGAACGAATGGTTGTACCATCTTGTCTTGTATGCCCGGAAGGGCACGAATACAATTCCATTATACGACGAGTGAGTCGACGGAAAGATGGAGCAAGCACTCAGATATTCATATGTATGAAAGAAAGGCAAGTTTTCTTCTATTGTTCTCGTATGAATGAAAAATAATCATTAGTTTTCAAGATAGATTATGACTGTAATTAAGAATCTATTCAATGTAATTATGTTAGATTCTTAAATGAATTAAAGAACAAAATAGAAGCGAAACTCTTGAATAAATTTCATCAAATCAGAACAAATCCTCATTACAATCAAATCATACATGGAGACACTCATAGACTTGTCTTCTTTTTGTGCGTTTTGATTAGAGGAAAATCTAATTCTTCGTTTTTGAAAGATTCGATGAGAATCAGAATGTCGCGATGAAATCTTTATTATATATTAAACAAGCCAGGAGAAAAAACACGCACATTTTCCTGACTACGAAGAAATCAATCTTCGCATTAGATTTTCTTTTTTTCTTTTCGTCTATTTATAGACTTGCTAGAGAGCAACGACGAATAATAGCAATCGTTGTTAGCATAATATATGGAAAAAGAGAACTATTTGAATTTCTTCGTCATTTTATTTGAGAAGTCATTTGGTTTTGTGTGAGGAATCCGAGTTGAAATCTAAGATGCCTATTTTCCCTTCGACAAGGATTAGAGAACTTATTAAGCCTACAGCGAAAGAACCTCCCCTACGTAGAACGTAAAATCCTATCATAAACAGATTAGATACACCGATACTTCATTTACCCGGTTCATTTTCGAAGAGAAAAAGCCCGGACTAACGCATCATCAAATGAATATATATATATATATTTACCATAGCTTTTCATTGTGCATTATCGTTTCAGGCCAAAACTATGATTGTGAGAACAAACAGAAGACGCACTTGCTTAGTGAGGTTCAACTAACTTCGATGCAATCAGCTGAAAAATAAAGATTGAATATCTAGAATTAGAAACAGAATAATAATAATAGTAATAATAATAATAATAATAGTGGTCGCAAGGGTCATAATTGAGAGAGAAAAAAAAGTGAAAATAGCGGGCAAACAATCTGCTTTGTTTTCTTCATCGAATCAATCATGAGTTTAAAACTGGCAACAACGCATGTAGTTCGCTTTGGGAAGGGTAAGTATCAAAATATTTTTTGACAAACTCATTTTGAAAAAGAAAAAGAAACGAGAGAGAGGAAAAATGAGAGAAATAAGCTTTTTAAAAGAAAAAAAGAAGAAAAACTCGTCAGTTACTACTATACCGTTCCTGCTGTGCACGTCATTATAGCAAAGCTTTAGTCGTGATGGTAATCATAATCGTGGTAGTCTTCTCCTATTCTGCGGTCTTTTGTTATTTTTGTTGTTTTTGTTGTTGTTGTTGTTGTTGTGCCTGCTACCAATGCTACTGTTGTTGTTATTGTTGTTGTTACAAGAGACACTCTGCTCGACAAGAAGAATAGTCAATGTGCATGTAGGTTGACGTGTGATGTTACAAAAAATGAAGATGCGAGAAAGGATTTCATGTGAACGACTAGCAGATCGTTAATTCGATGCTACGGATTGTCAAGTATAACCTGTCGACTTGTCATTTGCCAATATCCTACGTTCATTTGATATGGGAGTGTAGAATCCACGTGTTGGAATTGGCATCCTTTAACTATTGCTCGATATGACGTGAGATCGAGTAGAGGAAAAGTATAGGGGAAAAGAAGAGGAAAAAATGAAGAGAATCCGTCATAACCGCCTAGAACTGTGTGCTGCCGAGTTGTTACAACAATTAGAGGGAGTTTCCTTTTCTCTATATTTTTCTCCTTCTTCTTCTTCTTCTCCTTCATCGCCGTCATCATCATCATACTCGTCTCTGTCTTCGTTCTTCTTTCTTTGATTTCTCTTCAGCTAGCTCTAATAGTGTGCGACCAATTTGAGTACATGACCAAGTTCGAGCGAATGAACACAGCCTAAAAGAAATAGAGAGAATGGCAGAGAACAAAACATACGCCAGGCCTAGCACCATCGAGAGAATGATAATGAATGTTCATGGGACAAACAAGTAATAACAAATGCTGGATTTCAAGAAGAATAGACGACGATGGGAAAAAGAAGATAAGATTGATTTGAGAGGCAGACAAGATACTCGATTTGTGCACTTGGTATTGTGTATTTACGGCCACTAGGTGTGTTTTTACAACAACAACAACAGCAACAACAGCAACAACAGCGCGGCTACAGTTTCCGTCTTCCTTCCTTTTCATTTTACATCATGGTAATGATAACAACGATGCCAGGTTTTTCATTCGTTGAGCAAACAGCATCTTCCATTTTGTTTCCATGTATACATACATCACAAACTTATCCATAAGATCGGCGAATGCCTATTCCTATCGCTCTTCTATTCATTCGATAACCATAGCGATACTTATGAAAATCGAATCAACGATCTATTTTTCCTTTTTTTTTTGCAACTTCACACTTTTAATAATCGGGAAAGAAGTCACTAGAGACACACATGTTACAAATAGTTCTCAACGACTTACACACTTACTTTCTTCTATTCATCTTATATGTCGCGGAGGCACCAACTAACTCAGCGTACTTTTTCTTCATGAATCCGAAAGAAAGAAATAAAGAATGTTCATACTGAATCGAGAAAATTTTATTCAAGTAGAACAATCGCAAGCGCGATAGTCACCATACTTAAAACCTTAATTTCCATTAATCCTCTTGAACATTTGTCTGGAGACGAAATCTAAATAAATCAAAATGTCACCGCGCTTTCGAAAGAACACAGTTAACCAAGATTAAATATTATTTGTTATTATCATTGAATAATAAAAGAAAACAACATTAATATCTAACAAATGTTTATCTCGAGGCTGTTCATTACTTTTTTATTAGAAATTATTCATATCTCAAATATTGAATAGACAAATTTCGCTCTGCATTACCCGTCAAACATTTCACGTAATAAAATTCACTTCTTTCTTTGCCAAAGGTCTATATCGTGTGTCATATGTTCTACGCGACTTGATTATAGGTTCCAAACTAAAAATTTTTTCATAAGATCAATAATCTTAACAAACCGGTATAATTATATGTCGTTTCCTAATGAAAATCATTCGATACGTAAGTAGATGTCATAGCTACTCCGACAAAGGCGAATAAAGAAGAAATAAGAAGCATTTTAATGAGAAAAGTATCATAAAGAAAATAGTTCTGCCATTTCAAGGTTAATCTTAATATTCATATCTTCTTTTACAATCGAGAATTTTCTTTGTGAAAAAACTCGCCATCAAGTAAATAACTTGCGACGATGAAATATAGATGAATTTCTCGTCTATTATTCAATGGATACTACATACGAGTAAATGGCAATGGTGATTTTCTTAAATAGAGATGCGAACTTTTTTCTTTTCTTTTTTTCTTCACCATGTCTGACTAACATCAAGCTTCCGGCTCTTGCACTTCTTCTTTCTTTTTCCTATGCTAGCATGTCTTCCAACAACAGCAAGATATTATTGAAAACTCATTTTCTCCTTTTCTTCTACTATGAAAGAATTCTGTTGTGCTCTTCCTGTGCCATCAAAACGAGTGAAAGCATCGATGGTGTTCTAATTTGTTCAACTTCACTGCCTTTCATCACTGTTAGTGTTTCTAAATAAGCAAACTTATGTACATTCGAAGCATTAAATGGATATTGATTTTAAACTTAACAAAAGAAATCTCTCAATACATCGCACGCATTTCTGTCGCTTCCTTCAACAATTCGCCTAATCGATGCTAACGACAAATCTTCCTGCTAGTCATCTGCCGTTCCAAACATTCGTCTGTCCCTATTTCATCGCAAACACATCACTTGCTATGCTATCAATATCGTGAGTAGCCAGACGAAAAACAAAACGAAAAGAAACTTACCGCTCGATCAACAACAATAAACTTACTTCGGTCAACGTACAAGGAATAATAGAAATATATACAAATTGCTTCTGCTCTTTTCTTTTCTGTACGTTGACAATTTTCATCATCCTACTTTCTCTCCTTCTCTTTCACTCGCTCCCTGTTTCTCTTCGATTCTTCAATGCAAAAACACAGCGTTATGAAAGAAACATATGCAGCAATCGCAGAAGCAAATATCTATTTTTTTTTGCTTCTTTTTTCTTCTCTCTCCTCGCATACTCTCGCATTTGTCAAGCTCTCATTGAGAGAATTTGGTCGGTGGCGCTGTATAGGAAGTGATCGTCGTAGAGCCGAGAGAGCGAAAGTCGTTTTTCTTTTCAAAAGCGTGCACAAGCACACACATATAACACCAACTACCGCCACAGGCATCAATAGCAGAAGAAAAGCAAAGAAAGTAGGGGAGAGAAACAGCACAAAATGAAAGAAAAAGTATGTAAGGAAAATATATACACGCATTTGTTTAAATTGACTAACAAAGAAGAGAGAAAGACGAAAGGAACAACCATAACGTATTTGTATTTATTAATTGTTTTTTTTGCTCGTGGTCGATTTGGCACAATTGTAATCGCATGGTAAACGATGAACGAGAGGAGTGGGTGACGAATGGTTTGGTGAAAAGTAAAAAAAGAGATGTATGTTAATGTATTTGTTCCTGTGACTTTTGCCATAGTACTTAAATGTGGTACTAAGCAACATGACAGACACAAATAACTCGACAAGATTGTTATTGTTTATGTGTTAAGAGCTCCGAACACGAGCAATAATCGATGCATGGTGCGAATATACTCAAGACGATATATCATGGGAACTATTTATCTTCGAGTAGTTATTCAAATATCGACGAAAATCAAACAAGTTACCAATTGCTCGCACTTCATAGTTCGTCGGAATCTATATCTAGAACGTGATCAGTCAGAATGATCTTGTTTCGATTGAATCTTTGTGTGTTGTGCTCACAAAACCTGATCTAATTTTATTCACGCAAAGCGAGCCTACTTGATCATGCATAAAATGACAGATGGTATTCATTCGTCGGTCGTTCATCGCATTTCCATCCTTGTCATTTTGATTCCATTAGAAAGGACAGCATGCACTTTGGCTTAATCTCATTTTGTTCGACGCTCTTCGAACATCTATACTCACGTGTATGCTATTTCAGTCGCTGCCTCTCTCTTGCCTTTTTTTTTACTTGAATGTCGGATGTTCGCCGTCATTCGTGCTCGAACATCATTTGACAAAAGAATTTTGTTGTGCGACAGCAAGCGAATTCCATTTCTATAAGCATAATTGCGTTTTTCTTCGCCAACTCGTGTCGACAATAATACACCACGAAGAAAACTATAATTATTTCCATTACATCTTGTTATGTACAAAAGCCATCGAACTAAAATAGAACAAAAAAAGCAACGACGAAGAATATATTGACACTCGACATTCGAGAAATTCATATATTTTGTTTTCAAGTGAAAATCGAATGTAGAACAGCTTGAAATAATGATTATTAAACGAAATCAATCAAACAAATGATAATATCTTCTCGTTTACGAAAGATCTAGAGTAATGTTAATTGCTGAATAATTGAAACCGGATCAACTGAGTCTTTGTAAATGTCAACATATTTGTCTAAATATCCTATTTATTTCCAACTATGTTTCTTCTTACTCAAGGACATTCGATTGCGGGAAAGAAGTCTTTCATTGTTCATCTGTCTCTCTCATCGGACCATTCGAAGAACATAGGGATTGTTATGAATGATAGCATGATCAAGTCGATGTCAACTATCGTTGGCTAACGTATCGAGTAAATTAAAAGATACCTTCGACATCGGGGAATACATTTATGTACGATTTCTTCCATTTCGATAATTACATTCTGCCAGATAAT